AACCAAAATTCTTATAAGAAACTTTCGGCAAATCTATAAGAATTTTAGATAAGAATTATTTATCTACATAGAAAAAAGAGTTTGTGTGTGCTTTCACCTAAAAAATTCTTCCGGTTATAAGAAAAGGAAGCAAACAAAAAAAAAAGTAAAAGTATTTCTCAAGCAATGAGAACAAAAACCCACGAAAGTCTATTCAAATAAAAATATATTGATGAGTTGGCCTTATACGGAACAATATTATAATAATATAATAATATAATATTAGTTATACGACCAAGGAAGAGTTTTTATGCTTTGCTTGGAACGGAGTGTGTTTATGTGTGTTCACAAAATTTTAACCAAAATAAGTATTGAAGCAGAAGTTCGACGACAAATATGTCAAGTGAAGAACTACTCTATTTAAAGGTATTTATATGGATTCACAAGCATTGCGCTATAGTGAATATTAAGAGAAGGTTACCAAAGAAGCACTAATAGGCTCTTAGAAGAAAAAGTGTAATAGTGTAATAGGCTCTTACAAAGAAAAGTGTAAAAACATGTAAATAAATAAAAGCTATCGCCAGTAATGAAACGTATGCGTCTTTTCCTTCTTTTTTTTTTTAAGTACATGTTGTCGTCTTGATGTGGGAGTCCTTCTCTTATCTAATAATTTAGACTAATGAAAACTATTTTTTGTCCATCTGCTTTACTGTCGTCTTTTGCTTACTTTGTGATTTTACTTGTCGCATTATGAAGCTTAGTTTTATGGACAAGAAAATATGTTTACGCGCATATGATTATGTTTCTGTGAAGGTCTACTTGATATTAGGTTACTGCAACTCTACTTAAGAAGCCTAAGCTATGCTTGAAAAATATATAAAATTTTTATAATGAAGAATTTAATCAAGATATGTAACATATGCAACGGTTGACTTATTTTCAAAATGAATAATATATAACTTTTTTTAGGGCGCTAAAGTGTGGCTGCCGCACTCCGAAACTGTTTGGCAAAGCGGTACTCTCCAGCAAAACTATCAGGCGGGCGTAACGGAAATAATAGTGGAGGTTGAAAATGGTGATGTGCTAATTGTACCTGTTAAACCGGATGGCAGTGATTTGCCGCCACTGCGTAATCCCGCCATACTAATCGGCCAAAATGATTTGACTTCACTGTCCTACTTGCACGAGCCGGGCGTTTTACACAATTTAAAAGTACGTTTTTGTGAACGTCAAATAATTTATACATATTGTGGCATTATATTAGTAGCCATAAATCCATATGCTGAACTACCGCTGTACGGGCCAAGTATTATACGAGCCTACCGTGGTCGCTCCATGGGTGAACTTGAACCACACATATTCGCTTTAGCCGAAGAGGCTTACGCAAGATTAGAACGTGAGCGTTGTAATTTAAGTATTATCGTAAGCGGTGAGTCCGGCGCAGGTAAAACAGTATCCGCGAAGTATGCGATGCGTTATTTCGCTGCTGTGGGAGGTTCAGAGTCTGAAACTCAAGTGGAACGTAAAGTGTTGGCGTCGTCGCCCATAATGGAGGCGTTCGGCAATGCTAAGACTACCCGCAATGACAATAGTTCTCGCTTTGGCAAATTTACGAAATTGTTGTTTAAAAACAACAGGGACGTAATGCATTTGACGGGGGCTAATATGCATACATATCTGCTAGAAAAATCTAGAGTGGTATTTCAGGCAATAGGCGAACGGAATTATCACATATTCTATCAGCTATGTACGGCCAGAGCAACCTATCCAGAGTTGATATTAGGTAAGTGAACTTTTTTGAATATTGAACGGATGTATTTTTGCTAATAATGTGCAATTATTTCAGATCATCAGGATTGTTTCTATTACCTAAATTGCGGCCGCTCCCCTGATATAGACAAAATTTCAGACAGAGAACAATTTAAGGAAACAATTCAAGCCATGCAAATATTAGGTTTCGACCCAAGACAAGTACGACAATATATACAAAATTCCCAACTTTGTTTAAACGATTTGAGCTTTTTACAGATATCTGATATCCTTAAAATTTTGGGTAGCATTCTACACTTGGGCAATATAAAATTCGCTAATAAATATAAAAAAGACAAAGAAGAATTAGATCTTGAAGGTTGTGATATTTACGTAAGTTTCAAGCTGCATTTTTTACGAAATTCTTTCATTTCCATTTTCAATTTTCTTCTTTTTCCAGCTTGATGATTTACATTTACGTGTTATAGGAGAACTATTACTTATTAAGGCGGACGAGTTACGAAAATGGTTATTAATGCGACAAATTGAATCTGCCCATGAATTGGTTCTAATTCCTAATAACAAAGAGGCGGCTGTAGCCGTACGAGATGCTTTAGCCAAACATATTTACGCCAAACTATTTCAGTATATTGTTACCGTTATCAATAAGGGGCTAAATAATGATCGGAAGCAGAGCTTGTTCATTGGCGTTTTAGATATCTACGGTTTTGAAACCTTTGAAATGAATTCTTTTGAACAATTTTGCATAAACTATGCTAATGAGAAGCTCCAACAACAATTCAATCAACACGTCTTCAAGCTGGAGCAAGAAGAATATTTGAAGGAGGGCATTTCGTGGACTATGATCGATTTTTATGACAATCAGCCATGTATTGATCTAATTGAATCGAAATTGGGTGTTTTAGATTTACTGGATGAAGAATGTAGGGTAAGTCGTTGGAAAAACCAAACCTTCCCTCTGTTCTCACGTGCAGTGTATGCATCATCCGATTTTATTATGAGAGTTATAAACGTAACCCATCAAGAAATCCGACCAAAACGAAAATATTCTTTCCTTTATTTAATTAACTTTCTTGTATACGTAAAAGACCAAATCTGTTAACAATAATTAGTAAATATTTGCTTCATGCGTAATATAATTTGTTTCTTCCCTACATGTTGTAGATGCCTCGCGGTACCGATGAAAGTTGGGCCCTAAAATTGGTAGAGAAATGTAATAAATTCGATCATTTTGAAAAGTCACGTTTCGGCAACACTAGTAAGTTTCAAGAAACATTTCAAAATCGTTGAAAAGCAGTTGTAATATTATTTCTTAGGCTTCTTCATTAAACACTTTTCGGATTGTGTGAAATATGATGTGATTGGCTTTCTGGAGAAGAATCGTGACACCGTATCGAAGGAGCTCGTCAATGTTTTACGGCGTTCGCAAATGTCTTTATGTAAGCAACTAACGGAGCTGGAGGAAATCGATACACTGAATGCAGATGCGTCCAGAACACAGACTTTGGGAGGCCGCGTAGTTATCAGTGCGTCACGAAAACAGGTATGGTATCCCAAATCCGTTCAAAACATTGCATTTTGTTATATTCGAGAAATGCTGGAGTTCTCAATCCTCGCAACTACTTGTGATCAAATCTTCTTTGTATTTTATACATTTTAGGATACGGTAGTCTCGGAAACCCGTAAAAGGGTTAGTCCAAATTTTTGTATTCAATAAAACAGTACAAATAATTCTACTAATTTTTATTAAAAATGCATGATAACGCATTTTAACGCCGGGCGTATTAACTTAATAACCTAAAGTTGCATTATATTAAAAAGGAATTTTTTATATCCATCACCGATGCATGAGTGTTAAATTCATTTTGTCGAAACGTTTGCAACGCCCACAAGGAAACTTTGGAAACTCGACAAAGTGTATACATGCTTGATCACAGTCATATTCTGAATCGATTTAAGCATGTCCATCTGTCCATCTGTGTATGTGTATCTGCTGCAGACATTCTCTTGGCCGCAAAAAGGAAGATATCGCCCACAAATTTGCGCCAGAAGTTGAAAATGGCCCAAACCGGTCGAAAGACACGCCTACGCAGCAAAAGTTGTGAAAATATTTGCTATCCGTGCTTATGCTTATTACTCATAAAGTGCAACCCATTCCCCATATAAATTCCCATTTTTATTCTGAAAAAAAAAAAAAAAATCAGCCGCGTCGCTCCAACATTACAGATTATGAAAATTTAGTACTTTTCTTTTAGTCTTTTTTAGAATAACGGTGACGGGTATAAAAGTTTCGGTATTGACCGAATATAATGTTCTTGTTTTTTTTTTTGCAATGTTGTATGCTTTTAACGCATGAATTAGTTTCTATGAAATTAACACGATTGAATGTATAGTTTTTCTTGCATGCGCACGTACCACGTTCCACAAGAATTTTTGAAATTTTATCTCTTCAATTATGTAGTAACTTATGTTTATATTTTTGTTTGCACAAAAGATTATGCCTTCTAAACAGCATCGCCGCTCAGTGGGTTCCCAATTTCGTGAAAGTTTATCCTCTTTAATTGCCACTTTACATTCTACTACACCTCATTACGTCCGATGCATCAAGGTGAGTGAAAATAATATTTTACTGTCGTATATTGCATGAGAGTAAAGATCTGCTCTTGTAGCCCAACGAACATAAGATCGCCTTTAAATGGGAAGCACCGAAAATCGTTCAGCAGCTACGAGCTTGCGGTGTTTTGGAAACAGTACGTATCTCGGCCGCTGGTTTTCCCTCGCGTTGGTCCTATTTGGATTTTTATATGCGCTATCAACTCTTATGCCATCGAGGTCAAATTACCAAAAGTGATTTAAAGAAATCCTCCTATAATATTATTAAAAAATGGATACCGGATAATGATATGTATCGGTTCGGAAAAACGCAGATATTTTTTCGAGCTGGGCAGGTGGCCTACTTGGAGCAAGTCCGTGCCAATTTGCGCAAGCGTTATATAACTACTATACAGTCGGTGATTCGGAGATTCATTTGGCGAAGGCGTTTCGTGCGTTTACAACGCACCGCCTTAGGTATACAGCGTTACGCGCGTGCCTACTTAGCCCGACAGAAAGCGCAAGAAATACGTGAACAAAGAGCTGCTGTTATTATTTGCAAATACGTACGCGGTTGGTTGGTGCGTCGTCGATACAAGCGTTTGCGTCATTCAATTTGCGGTATACAACAATATGCCCGAGGTATGTTGGCTCGCAGACGTTTCCAGGAGGCTATGGAACACCATAAGGCTACGCAAATACAAAAATATATACGGGGTTACATTGCAAGGCGTGAATACCGCACACGCATGCACAATATTATTATTTGTCAGGCGGCGGTGAGACGATTTTTAGCCAGGCGTCAATTTAAACGTTTGAAAGCCGAAGCGAAAACTATTTCTCATATACAGAAAATGTACAAGGGCCTGGAGAATAAAATTATAACAATGCAGCAACGAATCGACGAATTGAATCAAGACAATGCAAAATTAAGGCAAAAAACTAGTGAGGTGTCAGTTCTTAAGTATGTCGTGGAAATATTTTAATTGAATTGATTTTTATAATTTTTTAATTGGAAAAATCTTTCTTTTAGGATGAAATTAGAAATGAAAAAGGCATTGGAGATTGAATTGAAGCAACTTAAATTCGTTGTGGCGGAAAAAGACGAGAAGGTCTTATCGGTACTTAAGCAATTAGAAACTGAACGCGATGAGAAGATGATGTTGCTTGAGGAAGCTGCGCAGAAACAGGAAGAATGGCACCGTCAAAAGCAATTGTGGAGCGAAGAAACCGCGGGTTTGCGTCGACAATTGGAGGAGATGATGGAACGTGCTAATCGTAACGAAGCAAGTAGCATTAATCAACAAACACGTTCAATGTCCGAAGTTGATGAGATTGATATACATGACGCGTATAAGAAAATCATCAAGGAGAAAGAGATTATTGAAAACGAAAACTATCTACTGAAAGAGGAACTTAACAAATTTTATAATCAAAGCGTTAAGAGCGATTATAACGATGTGATAAGGAACCATATGCGATCCAGTAGTAATGCTTCAAGTCAAAATGACGAAGACATTGGTTACAGTTCGGCTAAAAATACTTTAGAACCAAAACGTCAACCGGAATTGGCTAATCTGTCGACACAGGAATCCCTACAGTACGCGGAAGATGTTTCCACTGGCAAAACTGATCATACGTTGATTATATTGAAATTACGCAATTTATTGGAGGAGGAGAAGAAAAAGTACACCTGTTTAAAAGATCAACTGGACAAGGCCATTAGCCGCCATAGACCGACGGAGGATTCTCTTCGAGTGTCCGAGTTAGAAGTAGAAAATGAAAAATTGCGTCATGATTATGAACTGCTGAGGCAAAGCATACGTTGCGGTGCCGAAATGCAAGAACTGGAAGCGCAACATAATGCCCTGCAGGAAGAGCTGAAACGTAGACGGGATGAATGCATACAATTAAAAGCTGTGCTGCAGCAGCAGAGTCAGTCGCTGAAATCGCTTGGCAGCGAGAATTTGAGCGGTAGTGATGTAATAAATATGCACGATAACGAGTTAATGGACGCCTTTCATTGTCAAAAATTGGTTAATCGTCAGTTAGAATCGGAATTGCGGGCCTTAACAGAAGAGAATAACGCTCACTTTGCCGAGCTGACGCATCAGATTGAAGAATTGCGCAAGGAAAACAATCAGCTGCAAGAACTATTGCAGGGTGATATAAGTGAAACCGTGGATCTTAAAGATCCCGAAGTCCTGCAACAAAGCAATCGATATCTCAAGCATGAGCTAAAGAAGACTATGCTGCAATATTCGCTGGTACAAGAAGAGTTGAATTCATTCCTGAAAAAATTCGAATCGATGAAAACACGTAGCGAACGCTTAACGGTAAAATTGCAGCAGCATGGTGTCACCGATAATCCTTCGTCACCCAAAAGCCAAGAGCAAAACGACAACCCTACTCTTCAAGTAAGCAAACAAAAGGCGAAAACATATCAAGGTATGAATAATTACGGATTAAATATAATTAAATTATTTTAACTAAGGCGTGACGTGTATGCTTTTTTTACAGGTTTAATGAAATTCCGCAGTGAAGATCTGGATAAGATATTCCACCGGTTAGTTAGCGATATGACTACTAGAGTGGCCATAGGCTTATTGCCAGGATTTCCGGCGTACATCATATTTATGTGTATACGGTGAGCAGTCTTCTAAAACTCAATAAAGTTTTGCCTTCTATTGATGCATGTCACACTCTTTCTTAGTTACACTGACTTGATTAACGCTGATGAAGATGTACGCGATCTACTCAGTAAATTCGTTAAGCAAATCAAAAAAATTCATCGCAATCCGCACGTAACGGAGCATCGTATACTGTGGCTAGTTAACTCAATAACGTAAGTGAAACAATTGCTTTGGTTTTGCGAAAGAAGTTTCCCTAAGAAATGCCTACACATGTTTCATTTCCTTGTGCATAGGCTTTTAAATCTGCTAAAACAGTATGGTGACGTGGAGGAGTACATAAAATTTAACACCGAAAAACAAAACATGCAACAATTAAAAAATTTCAACTTATATGAATATCGACGTGTGATCTTGGAAATAATCATTAAATTGTATGAAGCCTTAATTAAGCAAATTGAGGGTTTGCTTGATCCATACATTGTCCCCGCCATTTTGGATAACGACGAGATACAGAGGGGCCGTCAGCATGGGTTAAGGAGTCGTACCAGTTTTGCAAACAGTTCACCCGAGCACGGCAAAATGGCCGCTTGGAAGCAATTAATTAGTCAATTGGAACATTTTTACAAACAGTTCCTGCATTTTGGTTTGGATAGTTGCTATTCAGAACAAATATTCCATCAGCTAATGTACTTCCTGTGCGCGGTGGCTATGAATTGTCTAATGCTTCGTGGCGATATCTGCATGTGGGAGACCGGCATGATTATACGGTATAATTTGGGATACATTGAGGATTGGGTGCGAGAAAAGAAAATGGTAATTTCCGCAACTAAATTATGTAAGACATAAGACAATTCGTTCATCCATTTGTTTTTCCTTTTCATAGTCTAACGCCATTTTAACGCCATTGGCTCCTCTAAATCAAGTATCGCAACTATTACAATCGCGAAAAAGCGAAAATGATGTGCAAAGCATTTGCGATTTATGTATGAATTTGAACACAGCGCAAGTCTTGAAGGTAAGTTTCCAGCAGCTCAACTCTTACCAGGTCTTAATAAATAGACTTGTACAATCCGTATTCTTTTGAAGAACAACAAGGAAGTTAACACAAAAACTCTTTTGAAAAAGAGAATTCATGAAATTCATGAAATTTTCCATTATTGCACGCTTTGCAAGCTTTGGCTACTACTATCGTAAATCACCTATGAACATTTTTTAGGGCAAAGACATCAAATAATCTGCAAATTTAGGGCATCATAAGCACTTGAATCCAAACGTGACGCCAATAGTTCCTACGAGGGAATATTTTTGAACTGTGGATTAAATAGATCTTAAAATTATTTTAGTAATTTGTTGCGTTTGCCAATGATTTCGCCTTAAGTATTATGAAACTGGCCTCGTTTTTCTAGGACGAAGGAGTGAGACTTCAAAGCAGAAAAATAATTTTTTTAAAAATCCGTCTAAGTAGCCGAGCAGGCAAAGGTTCTCGACCAGCCGCTTGGAGTCATGCGTTTAAATTCCAAGTAGGATAGGGTAGGGCTTTTATAGAAGCCAATACCCTTGGATGACAGCTCTTTAAGACTTTAGTCTTAGAATGTATTTCTGTGGCTCAATTAATAACAATAATAGCAATGAAAAATCGTAAATCAAGGAAATTTGAAATAAATTTTATAAATTTCTATGCTGACGTTAGCAAAATCACCTTCAATCAACTTCAGCACATATAATGCAACTACGAATAATAATTAAAGCAAAATTTCACAACCAATGCTCATAAAATTAAAACAGAGCAAAGTTTGCGAATAGAAATTCAACATGAAATAAAATAAAACTGAACTAATGGAAAGGGCCAACAAATAATAACAACCCATCACGTCACTAGTAAATGAAGGTACTCTTGTTATCGTCGACAGGCATTAGACATAGTTTATCGTTGTATTCTCTTAGCCCGTCTTAGAGTAAAAAATACTTTATTCAATACTAAACATTATGAACGCACCGAACCTTCGGCTACATTTTATCTTAGTGTCCTCTGATGTCTGACATAGTTCGAAGAATTCGCCTTCTCTTCGCGAGCCGTTTGATATCTGGGCCTTGAGTTCTTCCTTGAATTTGTCTAGTTCCACGCGTAAATAGTTGCTGTCATTTCCCAAAACACCTCTACCCGTTATGATATATTCAGGTACAGCAGGCCTTCAACCATATTTTGTAAATTTGTTTATAAAATATATGAATAATAAATAAATAAAATATACTAAGCTTTTAATATTACTTCCCCAAAGGTATTTGGAAAAAATGCTAAAAGTTTTTTAAACGGATCTTAAGAAAATCTCTTGATAATAAAATGCGGTCCGCCCACTCAGTACGCGTTTCCGTTCTAAAATCTATTTTTCTTTTCCGTTTGAGAGAAGATTTTCTTACGTTCATTTATATTTAACATGTATATGTACATTTATTTACATTCATCCAAATTTTTGATCTTTTCCCAAATAAATTATGAATAAAATGTTGTTACATCTGTCTTATGTGCGGCGTGATTTTTCTTCTTTTGCAACAACAGGTTATGAAATCTTATAAATTGGATGATTATGAATCGGAAATTACCAACACGTTCTTGGAAAAGCTTACGGAGAAACTGAATGAACGTCCAATGGTAAGAATGCAATGATTAGAATTTATTTATAATTAACAAATAATTTTTAAGGTGAAAAATGATGACTTCACTATGGACCAGAAGTTCATACATCCGTTCAAAGTTGTCTTCAAATATAGTGATATTAAATTGGAAGATATCGAGCTACCCAAACATTTGAATTTGGACGATTTGCTAATGAAAATTTAAATTCTAAATACATCCGTGCCTGAAAGTTTTGTTTTGCAAACATTCCTGTGAAAAATAACTTTAACCACCTCTATTAGTATAATATTTATTTTTTTATTTTTATTTTTTTTTTTTTGTTTTCTTACGATCTTAGTTCCAAGCCACAATTAGCAAAATATTTAAAGAAATTTAGTTAAAAGAATGTCCCCAAAAGCGTTGTTTCCCATCGTTTTTGCGTCGGAGTTTAATATTTGTTTTTTTTTTAAAAGTAAATTATTAGTATAATTATGGCAGTGTTCCCTGTTTTAACGTGTATTTGTGCTTCCAAATCGAGTAAAATTAACTGCATTTTTTTTTCAGTTTTATTTATTTCTGAATGAGCTGATAAAACATAAGAAGAGTTAAACTCAAAATAAAAATACAAAGTTGTAAAAAAAATAATAGAAAATAGCAAAAAACACATTAGCGCCTTTATCCCGTAGTCGATGTAATTCGGTCAAAACCTGTACATAAAATGTTATGCATTATTTATTGTAACCACTGTTGATTTAACAAAAAACATTATTCTTAGAGACATATTAAATAAAATGGAAGCAAAATTTGTTCCTTATATTGGGTTTGTAAAAAAAAAAAGCCGCTAGCCAACCATCAAGAGGATATTCATAGTAAAATCGGCGATGTCCGTACATTTATCTTTTCAATTGGACTGTGTTGAGTAATTTCAAATTAATATCAATATGAGCTAATAACTTCTCTAAGAACTTTGAAAATGATCAAGATGAGTGTCTGGTGAATGAATGGTGAATATGGCGCCTCTGACGCGAAAAACAAAATATTTCATATGTTTGTTCGCCGCTTTGCGCTCTTCTATTGTAATGGACGTTACAATACAAATATAACTTGCCTTGTAAGTGTTTGTTTTGCGTCTGTCCCTACTTGTAACAAAAGAAATGGACATGGGCTAATAGGAGTTAATAGGTTAGCGTAGGCTTTAAATTCCCCCATACTCCCAAATTCCTTTCCGTCTACATATCTCCATCTCTGTAATGAGAGTGCACTCAAACGCTAACTAACTTCCCGGATATACTCATATTTACTTAATCGTAAACCCGCTGTTTCCATATAAAAGCTGTGATCAAATATATTATTTTGTTTTGTTTATTGTTTGAAATTGCCACAAACATATACGTACAGCCGTACGGATTGTATTTCTTGCCATATACGCAACTAACTAAATATTTTGAAATGTAAAGAGTATCAAATCCATCTCATCATATGTTCTTTTTTTCCTCAAGTTGATCTGAGATATACTGAGCAATAAACGAATTCCTCTTGATGGTGGTGGTGGATATTAACCGTTCCGTCTCCTAATCAGGAAGCGAATTATATCCATCTTACCCTTGCGTTCTTATCAATTGGAAAATCCAATGAAAATATAAGACTTAAAGTTATATGATTGTTAGGTAAGAGAAACAAAGAATATTCTTAGCATAGACAGACGACCATCTAAATACAAATAAAAATACATTCCATCTAAACAAATCAAACAAAACTCAAGGAAAAGTAAGATATTGGTCAAGAATTATTCTATTAAATTTTTGCCTATTTGCATTTTTTGTTAAAAAAAAAAATAGAAACAATTAAAAAAGCTTCCATGTACTTAATGGACCAACCACCTTTGCTAATGTTACGCACTTATAACATGTGAAACCAAGTTGAAACGAAGTTGAAACAAGCAATATAGCCTTACACTTATAGATTATATGGTATCATCCTATAAATTATATATATATATATATATAATTTATATAAATATATAAATTATCCATATTTATTGCGAGCATGTGCTTTATATTTATATAGTTAAGTTATCAATTCAATAAAATTTAAATCAAATTTACTTTCAAATTTATTTTATTCAACAAAAAGTTTATTTTCATTCATTCAGTGGTTACAGCGGCTTTAGAAAGTTTATTTTTAGGCACTTCCACGGAAGGTTTACGCTCCAAGATCATGCCAGTAGCTACGGTTGCACCATTTTCCCGTATCGTGAAAGCCTGTCCTTTCGTCATCACCATTTGACGTAATAAAGTCAACTTTATGGTCGCGTGTTCACCTGGCATTAACATCCCATCAAAGGGTACTACGTACAATTTACAAAAATTACACATGAATTACCAAAGATTCTTTCCCTAATATTCGCAATTCACTTACTCATATCAATACGTGCCGGTAAATTCCACGTAACACTGAACAGCTGTTGTACATATTTGGAGACCATAGGTTTGTGACGGCCGCCTTCGGCCCGCGATAACAAATACATAGAAGCCAAAAAATGATTAGATATGTCTTCCGAGCCCGCGGCACATAACAACATGCCACGTTCCACATTTGATATTTTCACGCTACGTAGTAACACACCTACATTTTCACCAGCGACGGCCTTAATGTAAAACACCGGAGGTGAGGATAAGTAAGTTTACCTTGCGTTATGTTTTGGGTTTTCACTGTCTGAAGCCTAAATATATGGCATTGCTTTTACACCCGTCCTCAAAAGGTGAGGATGGGGATTCCTTTTTTCAAAACATTTGCAACACCCAGAAGGAAGATAAGGAGGCCTAATAAAGTATATATATTCTCGATCAACATCAAATTCTAAACCGATTCAAGCATGTCCGTCTGTCCATCTATGTAATGTCTGTGGTAAACGTTCAAAAGAAAACATATGAAATTGTTTACAAATCAAAGGTCGGCATGGCGAATTCAAAAGAAAACAGCTAAATTAATAGCACTCTACGAAAGCGTAGCTAATTAGAAAAAAAATCAATTCAGAAGAACATTTCGATTAGAAATATATCCGCACTCGTTAAATTCGCATATAAAAGCTGTCGGCTGTGTCCTTAAGGGCGGGCGATTGTGTACTTTTGATTTTGAATGAAAACTGCTTATATTCAACAAGAATGTAATCCTACAAAATTCTTGGTAACCTGCTTAAACATGTTTCTAACCACTATGAAGACTAAGTATGGCTTTCTGAATTCGCGTGAAGAATTTTCCAATCAAAATAAATGCAAATGTATTTATTTTCAGAAAGAAAATGCTAAAGCTCTAATATCTTTATCATTAGGTGGTGTATATAAGTGCGAAATTGAATAAAATTAAATTGTTTACAATTAAATTGAAAAGTTACCTTTGGTACACTGTTTCGAAATATTTGTATATCACCAATTGTTGTTTTAATGTTTTGATTAAAGCCTAGGAGATCGCATTCAGCATTTTTCATGAGTGTCCCGCGTTTAATTGTTCCAACGACCACAGTACCTCTTCCGGGCAAAGTAAAAGCGTTATCGATTGGTAATACAAAAGGAGCATGGATGTCGCGTTGCGGTGTAGGAATATAGCTATCAATGTAATTTAGCAATTTTTCTACAGCCGGTACCCCGAAAGGTGAAGGGTTATCTTGCAAAGCCAACAGCGCAGACCCGTATATCACTGGGCTACTAACGCCATCAAAACCGAAATCGCCTAGCATTTCACGCATCTCGATTTCAACCAATTCCAAAACTTCCTGATCAACTAAGTCGGCTTTATTAACAAACACTATGACACGTTCTACACCGACTTGCTTTGCCAACAGCAAATGCTCACGTGTTTGAGGCATTTGCCCATCAGTAGCGGCCACAACCAAAATAGCGCCATCCATTTGTGAGGCACCGGATATCATATTCTAAGAATGTTCACGAAATCAAAATTAATAGTACTGTTTATTCTTGCGTAAAAAGTAACCAACTTTTATATAATCAGCATGTCCAGGACAGTCGGTATGGGCGTAAGTACGTTGCTGTGTGGCATAACCAATGTGACAGGCATTAATGGTAATACCTCTGGCCTTTTCTTCGGGTGCTCGATCTATTTGATCATACGCTACATATTCCGCCAAACCTTTGCGTGACAAAACTCGCGTTATCGCAGCAGTGAGTGTTGTCTTACCATGATCTACATGGCCTATCGTGCCTACGTTACAATGGGCCTTTTCCTTTTCCGTCGATTTCCCGGCAATTTTAGTGCAGAAATTGCGATCACATATTTTTTTTAAGGGCTTAGATTGTGATACTAATTCATTACAGCGATAAAATGATTGCTTAGATCTAAGGCTGTTACGTTGGATGGTTAAATTTCCCAGTCTAATCAAAAAATTCCTCATGATTTTTTACTTTTATGTATGAACTTAGTGCAGCGGAATTTTCACAGACACATTTGTCCCTTATTCATTTTCACCATTAATTAATAAACTGCAAATAGACAAACTTTTAAAATTCTTCGCGTTTCAACCTTTTTCTTCAACTTTAGAAAACAGCTGTTTTTTTATATCTACGACTACTAAATGGACTGTTTTTAAAAAAAATTCTTGGCTTTAAATAAATTGTAATGCTTTTTCCCTAATAGAATTACCGAAAATAAATATCGGAAAATTATTTTCTTCTCCAATTTTTATTTTTATATACATTTTTTTGTAAAAAGCGCTCTACTACCAGTAATGACAACAAATTGCACAATCTTCATAATGTTTTTTGCAGTATCTAGCTGTGTTCCAAATTCTAACAGCAATTAATCCCTGCCGGCAAATTGTTCTAATCATTTTTCGCATTTAAAGAAATTACTTCCGTACATTTTATATTTGTCTTTGTTTTATTTTTTCTCCATTTTTCCTTATCTACTTAATTACTCCCACTACTCTTCTTTACTATGTTATGTGTACGTTTCATGTGACCGTTAAGGCCGACAAATTGCTTAAATTTAGCATCACATAATTTACAGGCAAACTTTCGGATTTCCGAATGTATTTGTCGATGTCTGATCAACGAATGACAATTGGAAAAACCTTTGCCACAGGTCTCGCAGATTTTATCGCGTATGTTGAAATGTGTTTTGACATGATCGGTCAAGTCGCGTTTTTTCAAAAAATCCTTCGGGCACATAGTGCATTTAAATGCTCGTATTTTCGTATGAATGGCAGTTACATGATATCCTAACTGGCTACGGAGTCTAAACGATTTGCCGCAATGTTCGCAGACATGCGGTTTTTCGGCTGTATGAATGCGCTTGTGAACGTTGAGATCCGATTTAACTGCAAAACGTCGTTCGCAATATTCGCATTGATATACTTTTCCAACATGGGCTCTTTGGATATGCACAGTTAATGAGGAATTCTGGTCAAAGGTACGCCCACACTGTTCGCATTTGAAAGGCAGTTCACCAACTTGGTGATCCTTATAATGGTGAACTCTTAAGGTATTTACACATAAGTATATCTTGTCACAATAGCCACAGTTTATGCCTTTTTTGGCTGGTTCATCTGGCATAAATATTTTACACTTTTGAAAATATATTTCATCCGCCTTTGAAGGTTTTGTTTTTTTACTTTTAAAACGTTTGCCCATTCTGTAAAACCAAGCTTGAAATTGATCAATTGCCTTGAGAAGTTCGTCGTCATTTAAAGAAATATCGTATTGTGAGGATAAATTGCTGGCCAGTTCCTCTAAGGATCTTTGGCGTTCCTCTAGACTGTTGTGGTATTCGTGCCGTCCATCGTAGAAAATGGGATAATTCGCATAGCAATCAATAAAATTGACGGTGGCCAAGTCGTAATGTTGGAAGTTTAAAGCCTTTACAAGAATGAAGAGTTTTAAAGACGATTTGATCTCTTATCGCGTACAAGTCTTCTTACCTTTTTCATCATTTGATCAGTTTTGGAGATTTTCTTTCTTTCGATAAGTTCGTTAAGGAATTCACATCTCTTATAATATTCCTTGGCTACACTGGGAATTTTCTTCGGATTTGGATCATCGAAATTTTGTTTGATACCAGCGCACAATCTGTGCAATTTATCCAAAGCCTTATGTAAGTTTTTATCTTTCATATAGACATTAAACTTTTGCATACCCTTTACGATGGCTTTCTTAGCCTGTTGGCGTGCTTCTTCATTTTCGAATAAAGGATCATTAATGTTCCATAAACACTGCTGTGTTTTATATAAATCAATGAAATCATTTAAAAAACGTTTTTTTCTAAAAAATGTAGGGATAAACTAAAAAACGGACATAAAAATAATTATAGATACAAACATAGATTAAAAAGTTCTTACTTTCTCTGTATAAGCAGGCACGTCTAAATTATCCGAACTCTCATCCTCATTTTGTTCTTCATCATCGTTGTCGTTATCGTCTGTATCAAATTCCATCTCGTCTGGTATAAATTCTTCATCTTCTGGCATAAATTCTTGCTCATCTTCAACTTCGTCTTTAATATCATCTTCCGAATCCTCTGGCATGCCCATCGGAATTCCGATCGGAATAAAGTCAATGCTGTCCTCCTCTTGTGCCAATTCAGACTTTGAATGTGTACGAAACTTTCTTTTATTACTTTACATCGAATGCTTGATATTCCAAATTTACCTCTGGCGGTTTTATTTCAATTTCCGCTAATGGATGTTTATCCATATCCGCATTCATGTTCACACTCACATCACCTTTAGTACTCAGCTCATCTTCATCTTGTTGCTGCTGTTGCTCGCATTCTGACTTAACTTCTTCTTTTTGTTGCGGTAGCGGTGAAGTTTCATGTTTATGTTTATTTTTAATATGTTTTACAAAATCTCTATACAAGCGAGATTTTTTTTCACACAGTATGCACTTTAACAGGAATTTATTACTTTTAAAATCCACTAGAATATTGCCACAAATTATCATTTCTGCCTCTATTTTCTTTTGCTTTTAAGAAAAAATAAATAGTAAACAAAGCTGTGTAAGAGATGGGCGATGAGTTAATGTATATATATATATTAAAACGATAAGCTTCACATATCTAAAACAGGTATGTTATCGTTACCTGTTTTATTCTGCTGCTGTGATATCCGCAAGAGTAAGTTGTAAGGTTTAGGTTTACGTTGAGAATTTGCTGTTTAACTGTTTCTTGAATTACGAACAGAGATTTTGACGAGAACTCAAACAAATTTACGCTGGAGCTGATTATAGAGCTGGACTTCCAATCCTATTCAGAGGATATCCAAGATATTTCAAATGCTGCGACCATGGAATTGCAAATTGAAAATAATATCAAGAATATAGCCAGTATATGGCGTAAGCAAAGCATTGAAATGGTGTTTTATCGTGATGGCATATATCGTATCAAAAGCGTTGACGAGTGCACTCAATTGCTTGAAGAACATATGGTCCAAATATCGGCGATGAAAGTTACGCGGTTTGTCGAGCCGTTTATAACAGTCGTGGATAGGTGGATAGTTGGGAGAAAACTTTGTCAGAAAAATTCATCTAAATCATTAATAGCAGATAAGGCCTTTGTTCTCTAGAGAAATGCTATTTTATATGGAATATGAGAAAAAGAAAGGACGATCGGAAACAGAAAAACAGACTTTAAAAGAAATGAATAAATAAATAATAATAATAACGTTAAAAAACTCTTTATATATATATAGTAAATCTTTGCCGTACAGTTTTATGATATCGAAATGAAAAAAATGATACAATTCCAAAGACAAAAATCCAAAGGATGATAATGAAGAGTAATTCTTTATTACAGGTGTACCATGTTGGTAACCGCATTCTTCGAATTTGTTCTCCTCTTTATTGTATATTGTCATCCCGTTTGAATGAATTTCGCCGAAGCTCATCTGGACGACTTTGTCGCGGAAACTCAGCTTCTCTACGACATCGTTTTTTCGCGCTCCGCCGTCAGCTTCATCCAACACTGCAGGCTTTCGATATTCGTCAAGTTCTTTCTTCATGGCTTCCAATTCCGCCTTGAGGCGGCGATTTTGTTCATTAGCGATGTCTGCGCTTATGTCCGTCATCATAATAAGCTGCTACATTAAATGCTGCATTAACGGGCCTTCTATTTTAATCCTAGATGGCATCTCAGTCCCGTTAGTCAGTTCTTCTTCCCCCTCTATCGTATCGTCTACTATTCTCCTAGATTCCTATTTATTTCGCCTGTTTCTTTAAATCCAAAAAATTGTTCCTCAGTGTCGCAGTCGGCCACTTGTTGGACACGTTTGTACTCTCCTGTCTGCTCTCAGTTGGTCCGTCATAATCCGCACCGCTCGCATCAATTCCAGTTGCAATTGAGTTGCGAACGGTGCTCTGTGAGTCTGTCCATTTAATTATATCTGTCTTAAGCTCGATAGTATTCAGAACTTCCTAGTAAAATTATTTGGTTATCTCGAAGCAATTATTTGTAAAGTTATGAAAGCTTGAAAGCTTTTTAATTCATTATTAGCATTAATAAACAAACATTTTGCAAAGTATTTTACCGACAAATGAAACATTTTTTATATATGTTTGTGTTTTCATTGACCCTATTTTTCTTTTTTAAATTAACGCAATGAGCATATGAAGGAAAGATGAATGAATGAATTTATGAATGAATGCGCGAATAAATAAATGAATGAATGAATGAATGAGTGAGGGAGTGAATAATCAATGACAGATTGAATATAGAACGAAATGAATAAATGAATGCGTGAAAGAATTAGTGAGTGAATGATTGAATGCGTGTTTACCAAAGTTACCAAAAACGAACTTCACAGATAAACGTAGATGAAAAATGATGAAAGATGTGTCATTGACAACAGGTTACTTGGAGTAAATGTTTGAAAGTCTCTAAGTAAATTTGCTAATTGTCCGTCATCAGTTTGCATTTCAAACTTGTGTACATTTGTTACATAACGTGTATCTATTGCACACCTGCGTTATTCATATTAACGGCACTAACCGCACGTATTTTGCACAAATAATATAAAAAATAACGGCGTCAACAGAGTATTTGTTAGAAAATTGAATTAAATGATTTTCGTTGAAGTTAGGTTTTCTCCCTCTACTCCTAATGAATCATACTTTTTGATCATATACATAGCGTTTTGCGATTACAAAAAGCTTTAGTTTCTACACACTGCATATTCCACATTTTTTCAGTCTATATACATATATATGTCTGTGTGGGGGTTGAAATGTTACTATCATAGTCGATTGCAACATTGCTGTTTATAGATGCGTTCATATGGTTTCGGTCAGCAAATAGTCTAAATTGTTGCTTCAATCAAATTGTTGTAGCACTATTCGTGAAATTATTTGAAACTTAACCCAATATAGTTCGAGGATTTATTAGCATTATCTGTATGTATGGTATAGGATGATTTTCAAGGGGAGATAAATGCTCTCTTTTACATTTATATATATAAGATTATATATTATACAAAAGCACTTGTACGAATATATGCGAAGAATTACCACAAAATGTTCAAAAATATGCGAAAATCGAACGCCAGGTCTCTAAAAATTGGATAAAACTAGTCAGGAGACGTTCAAGGGGAGATAAATGCTCTTTTTTTATACATTTATACACAAAATGTTCAAAAATATATATATTATGACATCCCAGTAAAGCAATAAATTCAATCATTTTTTTTTAAAGAAATTGCTAGCAACTAAGGAGACACCAAAGAGGTTTTCAGGGAAATTATATGAATCTCGGATGGGTCCACTTTTAAAAAAGTTGGTAAAAAAATTCATATCAATGTTATCACTTGTAATTCCTTTAATTTCTCTTCTAGGCACTTATTCAATATTTTTAAATTATGAATTAATAATTTTTAATACGATATTTTTTTTTCTTTTATAATTTTTGTATAAAAGCACTTTGTAAATATTGCACCACAAAACTTGATTTGTTTTTTTTTAATTTATTCTCCTTTTTCAATTTTATTTTAAGATATTTTTCGATTTATATAGTAATTTTTCACTTTGTTTATGATTTGCTCTAAATTCTTTGCTCAACTTGAAAAATGGTTTTGCTTCTACAAAAAACCGTTAGTTGGTTTTTTTCCTTTACAACTTTTATTGAAAAAGGTAGCATCTTTTGAGAATAGAGAGATAACAGAGTTGCTTTCAATAAATTGCAAGTCTGTTAAAGTTTGGGAAAGTTGTATTCAATTCTGTGTGCATCCGTTCTGTTGGTGTGAAAAATTTGCATTATCAGCTGGTTTCTCTTACTATGCTATTGAGCATTAAGTTAAGTAGAATATTTCCACAAATTAACATTTCCCCCTTTATTTCCGTTTGCTTTTGAGGAAAAATAAAAAGTAAGCAAAGCTGTGTAAGAGTCAGTCTTTATTTGTTAACAGCTGTTGCATTAACAAAACAACTCAGAATTTGGAAGCATCTGAGACTAAGCGTATAAAAAGGTAACGCTGTATTTGTTTACAATTGACAATAATTCAAGAATTCAAGAATTAGCGATGGGTTAATAAATATATACTAAAGCAATAAGCTTCAAATGTCTAAAACAGGTGTGTTATTGTTAAAAAACCACTCAATGGGCATCGTGCAATGCTCTAAGAAAAAAGGTTACAATATTAAATAGCGTTTTTTAATTAATGTGTTCATATTTCTTGTTAATAATTTTAATATTATATATTTTTATTTTATTTATTATATACTTTTCTTAAATAAAATAAAGAAAAAGAATTTAAGCTAACGGAAAAGAATAAACTAACTATTATTATTATGATAATAATATTCATTTCTTTATTATTAATTATTGACAATACAAATATAAGAAATAAAATAAAAAATGATTAAAAATACCAAATTGATATACTTGATAAACCTCTGTACTTGAAAAATTCGAAATCCTCTCAATCAATAGTTTTTGGAACGTTTCTTGAGCTTTGCTCATAACTACACTCATTTCAAGATATTGAGTACTTGTTTTTACTAAGTGGACAATGATTTCAAAAATTTGCAAGACCGGTAATTGTTTGCTTAAATCTTAAGTGATATTTTGACGGCACATAACTTTTGCGTTAATCTTCACATATAATCCATATATCTTTCACCTAATCCATTTTCACTCCATATCCAAAAAAAAAAATTGTAAAGTTTACCCTTTAGTTTACCACATATCATACGCATATACACCAGATGGAGGTATTTGCTTTTGGAAATTTTAGGCTTTTCTGGTTTAGAAATAAAGCAGAAAAATGAATACACGTCTGTCCTGAGAGTGTGGTGGATAGAAGTAAAATATATAATATCTTACACGTCACTTCAGCGCGTACACTGCGTTGATTGCTATCAAACACATATGTTGTATGTACTTTTACTACAAAATGCTGGTTTGCATAAGTATTTATACAGCTGCGTACAATTACAACTTGTACGAACGAAATTTTAAGTTAAAAATAACACTAACTCGGACCCAGTCCTTTCTTTTGAATGTGAAAACAGTATATTTCAGTTACTAATTGAGACATGAAAAAACGAACTGTGATCAAGAAGGTAAGATGTATTTCCAAGTGCTGTAAACGTTATTATTGCTGGTTGGACAAGAAATATATTTTTACTTTTATATGTTTATGTGAATAAAATAGTGTTTCTTTAACATTTTGTAGTTTAACCTTGTTGTGTGTTTGGACCCCGACCTCTATTGCATAAAATGCTATTTTGGAGGCTTTTAAATAAATTAACTGTAATTTAAATATTTTAAGCAACGGGAGTATTATTTTAAATTTAAATATATTAGAAAACAATGGTAGAATTTGAAATACAGGTAACTTTTAAATGTTTATTTAGTGCTTACAATTAATTTATGTTTAAGTCTTGTTGATTGCATGCACCAACAGGAATTAAAGGAAAATTTCGTCTTGTTTGTATTACAGCAACCAATACGCTTTGCAAATCCCTAAAGGTTTATTTAACGATTTCGGCTGTCGTTGCAACTTTTTGAAGCGTATACGAACTTTGAGAGCGATCGTAGTGTACGTCGTAGTTTGCATAATCCTTTAGGGCAACAAGGTTGCCTTTATCTGGCTGCTGTTGATACAAACCAAACGATTTTCCTAAATTTACCTTGAGAGTTGGATAATCAAGATTCTCATCAGAACGATGCACTATTCTTATCTATATTTTCATGAAATTTTCAGAAAAAATCTATTGCCTCCAAGCAGTCCATAGACAATGATATACCTCAAGATAAATATCTTTATGCGGGACGAATGCGTGAGCTTATCGAGGGCTATAATGCAGTCGTACAGCTGTTATATCCTAGATATCCGTGGTATATATATCCCGGTTATTTAACAAATGCTATCTACCAACGTTACATGAAATATTTTAAGGACAGATATTGTTTGGTTCCCATACCAAATACTCTATATGAAATGTTAACGAGCAAGGAATTTATTAAATCCGAACATGTTGTATTTGCTGCAGCAGACATCTATGACGAGTATTGTGTTTCACCTGAGGTTAATTTTGTTAATCTAAAAGTAAGTTATGCTAAAGATGATCTTCAAGCTGCTACCAAATCGTATGAGAATGGGGGAAGCGAAAGCATAGTAAAGCAAATGTTTCATACAAGCCACGACAACACTTTAGTGACACAAATAATACCTGCTAAAATATGTCATAAACAATGCTTATACGTAAAGGTTAGTATGTCGTTATTTCCTCTATTCTTTTACTATTCTTTTCGTTTATGTCATGGCAGGAAAATTTTTTTGCTAATCTAATGGACCGTTACAATGTAAAGACAATTAGAAAATTTTGGGTCAAATTGGACCATTTTAATGAAAGTCAGAATGTGCCTGTCATAGCTACAAAAACTCATATATATTTATTGATAAATCCCTATGAGCTACCACAGGAAGTTTGCGATTTAATACTTAATAATTATTTTTGCACACCGCGTATTTTACATCGAGGTCACACGTATCGCATACAAATCAATGCCGAGTTGGTAGGCACTGCTCAATACTCGCATTATTATCCTATTTTCGCTTATTTGCATCAGTTGTATTTTCGTTGCGTTCATTTGGAAGGCAAAGGGAGTGATTTCGAAATGCAAGCAGTGGCGGTTAAGGGTTTCTCGAATTTGGTGCAGATAAAGCATACTCATCAGTTCTTACCGCGTCAGCAATTGGATGAAATTTTTCAACTAAGAAATTTTCCTTTGGGTCTGGAGCAGCCATATTCCACCTTACGCTCTTCTATAGACGCTTTTCTACCTAACAAAACAACTTGTTTGTCTTCTAAACATATATATCCTGTTTTCATGTTGCAAGCTGAACGTGGATCAGGCAAAACTAAATTAATCAAAGGAATTGCAGCCGATTTGGGTATGCAACTCTATGGCGTAGATTGCACGGAGATTGTATCACAAATTTCTGCTCATACAGAAGTGAAATTAAAAACAGTTTTCGCCAAAAGCCTAATAACCGAGCCCTTACTAATTTGTTTTCACAATTTCGAGGTTTGTAGGATGCTAATATTTATATTGTATTGGATACCTTTGAAATTTTCTTAACACAGATTTTCGGTATTGATAATGAAGGAAATGAAGATTTGCGTTTATTGGCCGCGTTTCAAATTCAAGTGCAAGAGCTGTTTTCCCGCGATCGCAAGCATCCCGTCGTAGTGGTGGCTTTGACTAGCGAGAAACATTTGAAACCTATGATTCAACGTCTCTTCTTGGAAATTATACGAATTGAGAATCCGTCTAAAGAAGAACGCTACGATATTTTACGTTGGATGCATATTAAAGAAATGCACAAGCAACTGATATATAACCGAAAACAACCATCAGACGTGCCGCTATATCCGCTGGAGTTGCAGGAGATTTATTTGCCACAATTCTGCCCGGGATGGCCGTTCATTAAATCAGTACTTTGGGAGGTAGCCGATAAGACACAAGGCTTTATTTTAGGAGACTTAGAGCAGTTATATGAAAGCGCTATACGCGAATCAAAATTTGGAAAACAGAAAAACTTCTCCACTTTGACTTATGACCATTTTGCTCATAATTTGAATGCAATGCAATCCGCGTTTGCCGATAGCTTGGGAGCACCCAAAGTACCAAAAGTCTTTTGGTCAGATATTGGTGGTTTATCGAAATTAAAAGATGAAATTCAAAATAGCATTGGATTGCCGCTTAAACATTTACACCTAATAAGTAAAAATTTGCGTCGTTCTGGTGTGTTATTGTATGGCCCACCTGGCACAGGGAAAACTTTAGTAGCTAAGGCGGTTGCTACCGAATGTAATATAACTTTTCTAGCAGTACAAGGACCTGAACTGCTCAATATGTATGTTGGTCAAAGTGAGCATAATGTTAGGGATGTCTTCTCGCGCGCTCGTTCCGTGGCTCCTTGTGTATTATTTTTGGACGAATTGGACTCATTAGCTCCAAATCGTGGTGTGGCAGGTGATTCCGGCGGCGTTATGGATAGAGTAGTGTCCCAATTATTAGCCGAAATGGACAATTTGGGGGACTGTAATAAACCCATTTTTGTGTTGGCAGCAACCAACCGTCCCGATTTAATAGATTCGGCTCTGCTACGTCCTGGCCGCTTCGACAAACTGTTTTATGTAGGTCCTTGCTCCACAAGTGAAGATAAAGCTGCCGTTTTGGAGGCTCAGACGAAACGTTTCAAATTAGCGGCCAATTGTAATATGAAAGATATTGCGGAACAGCTAAAAGGTGATATGTCTGGGGCTGATTTATACTCCATTTGTTCGAACGCTTGGTTATCAGCAGTACGGCGAACAATAGAAAAGCACTCGCAGGGTAGCTATATTGCCATAAATTCTGTATCCACATTTTGCTAAAAATAAACAAAAATTTCAAACTTATAGGTAAGCTTAAGGACGAAGATTTGGTCGCACAGAATATTGTAGTTGAAGTAGAAGATTTCATGAAATCGTTCGTCAAGTTTATACCATCGATAAGCAAACAAGATCTGGAATATTTTAACAAATTAAAAGCACAATACAATATTTAGCAACTCGAAGGACACAACACAACTGGGTTCAGTTCATAACGAAATTAACTCCTTAAATAAAAATGTGAAAACAATGAACGTGAAAAATTTTAATTTGAAAAGTTGCTTACCCATATTTGATGACATTAATGCATATTTTTGAAGAAAAAACTTGCAAGAGTTCTATAGAGTAGATTACAATTTTTAGGTTTCAAAATAATTAAAATTAAATTAATTAATAATTACTTGCGAGGATTTTTAAGGTTTTTTGTAATAATACATGTGTTTTATTTTCCGGAAAGGAATCGTCTGTTGAAGAAACTTAATCCTTAAGCTAAGTATTGCTAGGAAATGTTGAAATTTTTCGCCAAACCAGCTATGGCCAAAAGCAAGTAAGATGTAAGCTGGTTTTTGTCTTACATCGGATTTGAAAAGTTTGCTGGTTAATGAACGAAAACATTGATATTTTCTGCTCTCTTTTTCAATGATGACTGCTGTGCTTTAGTTTATATAAACGTACATATAATTCGGCTATGCTTGTATATACGAAAATGGCAAGGCATTGATGATTGATGAAATTGATGACGACCATCCTAAATAATCATAAATATATTGTACCGGTCTTCTTCTTGATGCTCATAAATATATGCCATCGTCCGTCTTTTAATTGGTCACCTTAGTAACTTTTTGAATAACACATTTTTTTATTAATGAAATATTCATTTCGTCCACGCACTGCCACAGAACATATGACTATTAAGTTTACTTCCTGAGTTGACGTTTAGATTTCTGCTAAACAGCTGATTCGTGGATCGTAAAAACTGCTTTGAAGTGTATTATTTTTTCAAATTATTGAAAAAATGCAAATACGGTTTAATTTAGTATTCGTTAAAAGCGAAAAGTATCACTTGAGAAGCTAAAATTTTTGAATTATTATTTAAAAATGGATAAAGCGAATCCTACTTGTTTTTTGTTTTGCATGCTTACCTTATTTGTGAGCGGCTCTTTATTGTTCTTCTTGGGCTTTTTTCCAGCTAGCCAAAGCCATCTTGTTGAAATGTATGGAAATGGCAATATAACAACTAAACCAACAGAATTGGATGGCGTGAAGTAAGCCGGGGACATTATAACTTCAACTTTTATGATGTAAATATTTTCTGTTTTACTTCTTATTTTAGTCTTAAAGTGCCCGCTGGCGGTCCCAAGCAAGTCATCTTGCTCATAATCGACGCTTTGCGCTTTGATTTTGCTACAGCTTCGAAAATGCCTTATGCTTATGATCGTTCTTGTAAATTTCTGTCCCTTAAAGTTGATATACCTACGGTAGTTTAATGATTCATTTTTATTTCTTATTTGTTATGTGCTCAGAACGGTGGTATTTTGATTACAAAGTCGTTTTCGGCTGCAGCAAATTGAAAGGAAAAAATTATTTTCCTTCGACAGATGAAACAGATATTATCGGTCCATACGGGTAGTAAGTCAGCTACTGCTGGCTCTTACATATGAAGCCAAATCCCATTCGAAGGCTGGGAGGTAGCAATTGTATAACATTAGTTAGTGGGCGCGAGTACTTTATTGACAAAAACAAAAGGCTTATTGCACTGGCATTAGCATTGACTTGCTGGAAACTGGTTAAGATTACAATTTACGTACCTTCCTATTTGCTACGCAACACTATATACATTAAGTTGCTCAATACACAGATTCTTTCAAAACATGGTGATAACACCACGATTACCGTAGAACACAGGTTAAACTTTTTCACCGTTCTCGCTCAACAGTGTATACGAAAATACCGTTCGCGCTCGTCAATGTATTTATTATTTCATAATTGATACATTTTAGTAAAGCAAACGACATATCCATCCTAAGTGAGTATTATGAAGAGTCAAATTCGTCCCTCGTTTTATTTATTTATCGTAGGTCACTATGCCACGTTTGAAATCAATTGTCACTGGAGCTGTATCAAATTTCATAGACATCGTGTTAAATTTAGGACACACAACTGCCTTAAAAGATTCACTGTTGCATCGTTTAAGGGCGAAAGAAAAGACGGCAGTATTTGCAGGCGATCGCACATGGATAGAATTATTTCCGCGAGAATTTTCTCGCTGTTATGAAAACATAGATTCATTTTTTGTTTACGATTTTTTTCTGGTAAATATAAAAATTACTTCACCGTTGAAATGGAAAATAATTTGTGTTCTTCTTTTTAGGGTGACTCCAATATAACTGATACTCTAAAGCAGGAAATACAACGAAACGATTGGCATTTTCTTATTCTACATTATCTAGGATTAGATCATATCGGTCACGTTGAAGGCTCAGAGAGTGATACAATTTTCAAAAAATTGCTTGAAATGGACAGTGTTGTAGAATATATAACAAAAAATCCAACATTTGAAAATCAACTGCTATTGGTTACTGCTGATCATGGCATGCGTAATGGTGGAGGTCATGGTGGCAATGAGAAGGAAGAAGTAAATGTACCCATAATGTTATTTCAACCAAAATGCTTAACCAAGAACAAACGGTATCTGAATTATCTAAATTAATAATTTTTGTAAGACTTTCCTATTCTATTTATTTATTCTTTCTTAGCCCATCTCTGAGTGAACACAATCAAATCGATTTGGCTCCAACCTTGGCGATTATTTTAGATATCGATATACCCGAAACTTCACTGAGTTGTTTAATACCCGAATTTTTTGACTGTTACACTCAAGAGGCGCAACTCTATCATTTGCTCTATAATGCACAGCATTTAATGAATAAACTGACGAAAAAACTTTCTATAAATTATATACGGCAGCGAGGTAGGACTAATGAAAAATTCGTGGCAATTTAATTACCGCAATGCATATGTTTATAGCCTATTATCAGTGGTGGCAGGAGGCGAGAAATTCTCACAAGCATTTTCTTTTAAGCAACATTTCTAGTTTGGTCACTTTTGAAAAAGCTAAACAAAATTATATGAGATTCTCCAAAGAAGTATCGCTACAATTAACACAAACATTGGTGGAATTTGAATACGATTTCATAGCTATAGCGTTAACTCTAACGACATTGGTAAGTTTTCAACGCCTAATGATCCAAAATTCACATAACCACGATTGTAAGAAATGCGCACCATAGACTCCAGCAAAAAAACCCTTGTAATGTATTTAGGCGTTTTGGGGCGAGACTTGGTTTGAATAACCAAACAACAACTTGAGTTCTGCAATCAATTAATTTCAAAGATCAAGAGAAATTTTATTCGATTTCTTACCCAGCCTGTAATGAAAGAAAGTACAGCTTTGTTGCTCTTTCTAAAATATTTCATCAGGTTAGCGCCTCGATTTGTTTGATTCTGGAACTTCTTACATATAAAAGTGGAAAGCATCTATCAAAAGTCTATAATGCTTAGGGATACACATCAGAGTATATAAAATCTTCACTTTTTCCATGCACGTGGAGAGAAGCCACGATTTAGCTAGACCGCTCTATTCCTCAAAATATTCTCGGGAAGACTAAACGCAGTCGTGAATTTTTTTCTCTTTTACAAACGCACCAGTTCATGTTCACAAATACGCTAAGTCGTAGTTAGAGTCTATGAGACTCTGCCAAAGCATAAACGAATGTGTTTTTTTGTTCTAAATTGTCATCATATATATTATAGATATCGTGCATATATATTACTGCAAGAAGGCGGGGAAAATTTGGGTTGTGTACTCAAATTTTTAATACCAAAATATGTCTTTTAATCCTCAAAGCACTTTGTTTGCTTTATCTTATTTTTTTTTTTTCTTTTTCTATATATTCTTTTTTTACAGAGCGCTTTAACCCTTTTGCTGAATGTGTTATTTGAAAATCCTCTTCTATGCGTTATGTCGAAGGGATTTTCTTTAACAGTTTTTCTGAGATGCTGCTTCATGGCTACTATAATCAATTATTTATGTCATTACTTCAATTATATTAGTTCGCGTAGCTTGCTGATTGGTATTTTGATTACGCTGCCTGTGGCCTTTAGTTTATATTTGATTTGGGATCTCTTCCAATTAATCTTACAAATAATTTTACCTCTGAGTCCAAAATTCAAAGCTCATTTCAAATTATCGATACCAAGTGTGCTAACGGCTATATTTTTTATACAAATCGCAACGCGTGGATCTTCTTCCTTGATCGAAGAAGAACATTGGACTTGGTATTATCTGACACCTACGCTTTTAATATTTTTAATTGCCCAAAATTTCCATAATAATATTAAACATTGTTGGCGTAATCAAAAGCTGCGCGAAAATATGTTACTATTGCGGCAGACTTTCGAAATGCGCAACGCCATCTTTCTATTGCTTATCATCGTTTTCTGTCGTCATCTGAATGCAAACGATACTCGTGGATACTACACGATGGATTTGGCGACTATTTTCAGACGTAAAGGAAATCTATTTTATTTGGATTTAATTCTACTGACAGGTAGGTACAGCAGAAAAATTTACTTAATATGTATTCAAAATTGAAAAATTTCTCTCTTCATATTCAGGCTTGAGCATGTTATGGTGGCTGTTGCGTAAATACAATTCCCCACTTCAAATGTTTACGTGTTTGGTGGCATTGCTTAGCGTTTTCGGTTACCGTCAGTCCCCGAAATACCCCGGAATTCCTTTACTAATCTTTTGGTGTGGCGTTCTGACAACAGCTTGCATACACTACTCAGGCATCTGTTGTAAACGTGGACGTAATCATTCTTTGGGTGCGACTTTTAATTTACTAGCACTTCTGAAAACCAATCTAACATGCTGCTTATTGGTGTCGGCTTTATTGCATGATCCCCATAACGTAATTCTTCTGCCAGCCTTAATATTCATGCTAGAGACAAGCTATCAGCTCTGTGATAATTTATATTTAAAAGACAAACGTCTTTACAATCGAAGTTATATTTTGATTTTAAAGACAGTCTTGACCATATTTATAGCGAATACATTTTACTTTTTCCAGGTAATAGGACAAATGACCAATTATGCGTTTAGTTTTAAAAATTTTAAAAATAATGCAAATTTTCCTTTTTTTACTTCTCAGGGCAATACCAATAAGTTGTCTACGATAAATATAAATCCTGGTTATATAGGTTTAAAATCCTACAATGCTTTAATTGTAGGCTCTTTAATTACTTTAAATATGTATTGCGCTCAAATAAACGCGTATTTGTATTTAGTATGGCACATGTTTAATACGCAAGTGCAGACATTGCCAATTCGCCAAGAAAAGGAGCAAATAACTAACATGCAATTATTTGAAAGCACTGAGGAAGACTTGTATCTAGTGTTGAACTTATACACAACGACCACTGTCGTACCAGTTGCTGTGTATTGGTGGCTACTAATAGCATTCCGTTATCATCTATTTATATATTCAGTGTATGCCCCTAAGGCCATCTATGAGTGTTTTCAAATCTTAGTATTTTATTTAAATTTTATTGTAACAACTTTGTACTTTAAATTATTTAAATAAAAGATTTATAAAAATGTAGTAATTTATTGCGTTGCCTCCGGTGTTACCCTTAAAGCGTAGTGTATATCGTCCGTGCTGACGTTTAATAAAATTTTTTGGAATATATCATTACGCGTATGCTCGCAAATAATCAATCGCTCTGCGCCCAATTTAGAACATAAACGTAAAACTTGTCCTAAGAGGATTCCACTCTTAAGATTAAATCTATATATTAAGATTCTTCAACAAACCTGTGTTTGGTACCAAGATTCCTCCCACAAAATTAGCAATGCTTTCAAATTGCGTATAAACTCCCATAAAATACGTTTCCTCTACGCCGGTGCGTGTAACTTCCGCAGCTATGGCTTGCAATAGAATTTGTTCCAGGCGAGAACATCTTTTAATGGCCTGCACTTTAGCGCTGGCTATCATTTCCGACAGGGCTTGTTGGACATGCAATATATTCACACATATTTCTTTACCTTTTGAAGAATCTGCTATTTCAGTGGCACGACGGCAGATATCTAAAGCACGCCGGGCGTCTCCTGAGACGGCAGCTACTTTTCTATGTTCAAAATACAAAAAAAAAAAAAAAAAAAAAACGTTACTTAAAAATGATTTAATATACTTCTTTTTTAAGGGCGAAAGTCTTTTCACAGCCATTAAATGTGGAGATAAGATTAAAAAATAAAGTTGACTTTGAGATACAAAAGGCAATACAAAAAAGAAGTAGCCGACTAGGTGAAAATCGCGACTACCATGTCAATGTCCGTGAATTCAAATCTGTGTGGTAGAGTTCGCCGTGGTCGTAGATATAGTAAATGTGCAGTCGGTAAGATTATCCCCTAGCCTGTGACCACGACTACTCTATTTCCACGTCTTCTTTCATTTCTCTTTGATCGTTACTGTATTGCGCGAATAGAGGACATCTCGATTCACTCCACACCAAAAAACAAAAAAAAGTTGTTCTTTCAACTCACCTCGCTACCAGTTGTATGGCTTCGCCCTTGAAAGCCTCTGACCCACCTAAACGCCCCGTAACAATTTCTTGTAATTGCTTGTGGGTGTAGGGTTGAAAAGTGAGCCGTGTCAAACCCAACCTAGAAGTTACTTTGCCCATTAGTACGCGTTCAGGCAAGTCCATCGTATTGGCTATTGTTACCACAACTAAACATGCAGCTGTTTTTGCTGGCCAGTCCAACAGATTGTAAACTACATCCTGACGTCGGTTACATAATATATCCAATTCATCCACAATCAAAACTGTCGTAATCCTACGTGGTGCAGCTGTCATAAAGCGTTTCTCTAATAAAGCGTGAGCATGTTCCCAAGCTACTGTTTTGCCAGTCAGCTGACGGTAGATGTGAACGTAAGCTTGACGTGGTTCTGTTAAACGCATGCCATTAATCTCCAAATAATCAAAGGCAGGTAACATGTCTTCCTGTACTTGTTTCTGCAAAGCCCTTATAACGCCAGTGACGGTGGCTGTTTTGCCTGTACCCGGTACTCCAGAGATGTACATACAACCACCGCATTTATCGTTAATTTTGCCTTCTAAGAATGTATAAATATTTTCAAATTCTTTTTCCCGGCAAGGCAAACTCAGTGGTACAACGGAGACATGTAAACGTTCTCGAGCCAGTTGTAAATCATTTTTCGATAATTTACTGTGCTCAATACCTTCACGTTCTTTAAATGATGGCGTTAATTCTCCAGACCTTATCATTTTCAATTTTTGGCTAGGTGTTTTGGGAGTTTCAGAATCTTTAACGTATTTTGAGTTTGAACGCTGCACGCGCTTGGGTGTTTCCTCTACTGGTTTCTTGGGAGTGACTTCCAGTAGAATTTTTTCTATATCCTTCTCTTTTCCGAAAGCCAAAGACCTTTTAGATTTCAGTTTTGGTGTGGAAAGAACGTCTTGTTTATCGAATATCATCTCTTCCACAATATTAGACATATGTATGTTGCGTTTTGGAGTGCCTTCAGTTTGGAGTAAGGACAACCGTAATAAGTAATTAACAAAATATAGTTCATTGAAACATACCAACACGCTTAGTTGCCGATTTTAATATACTTTTACGTTTATGTACTGGTGTCTGAGTAGCACTTTCTCTTAACTTTTTAGTAGGCGTCTCATGAAGATCGGTACGAGCTTCAACAAAATCAATAAATTCTTTCGTGTTATTTTCTAACGCCAACGGATCTTTCTCCAGAGAAATTAAACGATGTCTGAAATCAATTTTATTAAATGATTATTTTAAAATATCGTTCCCTACTTTACCTTTCAGATACCCTTAGCTTTATTTTCATCTCACTTGGTGTTTTTTGCGTATCTGGTGTATCTTTGATTATGGAATAATTCAAACAATCTGAGTCGGCTGTATCGTTGGCCGCATGCTCTAAACTCGAATTAAGATTACGGCGTGCTTTTAAAGCTTTTATGGCTGGAGTTACTTTTATATTTTGTTCTGATAGAGGTGAGGCTTTTATTGTACTTGTGTTACGATTTGTCCACAATCCACTATTGGCTATATCCGCTATTGTTGCAGATACCACCCTACGTCTTTCCACAATTTTAATAGGAGATACTTTCTGACTCTTAAAATAATTGCAGTCCTTCGGATGGACGACTGCTGACGCTGGATGCAGCCGCGCATTTTCTGATGTCACAGTAGAACGCCGTATCTTCTTAGCGGAAGCACTTTTGCTATCAGTTTGTTTTCTTCTAGATGCACGTGTGCTGCGTCCTGATTCTATACTTCCAACATTCCCAAACTCCAAAGGCAGCAAATGATATTTATTTTTAATTTTACTAAACTTATAACGACATACGAAAGTTGGGCAAGACGTCTTCTTTGTGTTAGAGCTTTCCAACAGGTCTGTAGCAAAGCAGTCGACTGTGCCATACAAAACGCTACATTTACGAAATATGGTTTCGAGCGATATGTCCGGATCATAAGGACGATGTTCTTCTATTAATTCTTTTTCAAAGTCTAGGCATATGTCATCGTCATCGAAATGTTTAGCAGGAATGGACTGCGGCCTTGAATACCATTGAACGATGGCACGATAAGGATCGCGATTAGATATTTCTCGCAACTCGTACATATGCAAAATCTTTGCAATGTCACAACCTTCCACGGTATCTGGCTCGCGAGCGTCAGCTGAAATGAAAAAAAATGTCATTTTTAAATTTTGATGTTTTTTCTCATATTTTTGCTAGAGTTTATAACATATTTTGGCGAGGCTACCATTAACCATACCGTTCGAGACTAACACATAGTCACCCACACATAACGTCAACGGACCAACGATACATTTGGCGTAAAAAAGCACATCTTCCCGGAGCAACTGCGGACAACTCTCGTTGGGATTGTACGGTCCAATCCATTTAACTGATTCGCTCATACCACTTTGTTATTATGAATTTCCTTGATTGGGTCAGCAAATTTGTAATTTTTAAAAAAGCTTAAGATTTTCTAGTTTTAGTCGCGGCAGTGAAACAATTTGCTTTTCTGATCATTAACTTGGCGCCAAATCAGTTGTCATTTACTAAAAAAATTACTCAATAGATGGCAAAATTGTGCAAATGGCAACTCTCAACGAAAACAAAGACTAATTGATAAAACATACAAAAGACAGTCGAAAAATTTTTACTGAAATATAAATTGATACAGGTGTCCACCGTTTAACACGGTTCCGATGCAATACAACGCAAAATTTGCGATTATAAAACGGTTTCGATTTCTGAACATCGAATATGTGTTTTTTTTCGTTTAATTTTTGATTTTATTTCTATTTTATCGTTGATGAAAGGAGTCGACAAGAAAAAAACACACAAGAATATTATAATCGGACCAGGCTGCCATTACATATCCTGCACCAATTCGCTTAATGTAGTTGTCGTTTCGGAAATGTTGCAATGACAATTACACATTATTTTCATTCAAAGGCATACTTTTCATTAAAAACCCGCATATTGGGTGATACCTACAACATGGCGTGATTCAAATTTTGCAAACTTAATTGATTTCCCAAAAATTTTGTTATTTTTCAGTTTCCATCATAAAACACTAGGTTTGCACTATGCCTCTATTTAAGAGAACCGCTATAAGGGCCGTGGGTCAAGAAATAAGCATGTGGTCAAAATTTGGTTCCTTCAGTGTTTATCTCAGATTACCACCATGGACAATATTTACCACATAATGGTCTATATTTCGTGAGAATCGTTATATGCGATAATATTTCAACAACAGATCTACAGTGTCCAAATTCAGTAACGTTGACTTCTTCATCAGTTTATATATCTACATATATCTGTCTAATATATACATCTACAAATATGTTTATATATGTATATATATTTATATATTTGTATATGTTTACGTTGATTTTCTCATTTTTGGTTATAAACCATATATTTTTGCTTGCAGTTTCCTTTAAAACAATATGATAGCGCGAGTGCCCATTGTACTTATCACTTCAGAGTTTTTAACCCGAAAACGAAAATGACGCTTCATTTTGTCAGCCCACTTAGTGTTCACATTGATCTTTTTTATGCAACTCTGCGAATTTTCGCTTGTTAATTTGCGGATGAAGAAGAAAAATTTGTAATTATATCTTAACAGTTCTATCACAACAATTTCATTTAATGTAATTTTTTTGTTCCAAAAATGTGTGGAGAAAAGATTTCAAAAACTGATAATTCGTTCGCTGGTTCACACTATTTTAATTGTTTTCAATTATTTAAAAAGTGTCATCACAAAAAGTGCGAAAGCAGATTTTTGCAAAATATTGAATTGGTTAATTACTGGTGATCAGAATCAAGCGATCGGGGAAAGACTTTTCGAATTGTCATCATCATCCATACCAGCTCAAAACCTACAACGTTAACAACTGTAAAACGGCAAAAACTTCAAGAGAAATCATTATCGGAAAACAGAAACAAACTCCAATTTCTCTCTTGGAAGCGTTGATATTTATTGAAAGCAACTCTGTTCCCTCTCTATTCTCAATACATGGTACTTTCTTTTACAAACTGTGTAAAGGAAAAACCACCTAACGATTTTTCGTGAGAAATCAAAGCCCTTTTACAAGTGCACAAAGAAGTTAGACGAAGTGAAAAGCCACCTTCCCCTTTTTCCCTTATTTTCCTGTTCAGCCAAAGCGTTGAAAATTACTTTATTATTAGAATACATAAATAGCGGTTGCCATTAAATTCCAACCATTTGTTATAAATTATACCTTCAACGCCGAAATGTACGCAATCACTTTTGTTATAAAACTAGAACTAGAACTCATCAATAAATCAGCTAATAGCCTGAAAGGATGGGAAGGTAGGACAAGTTTTCTTAAACTTCGTTCAACTTTAAATTCAAACAGTAAATTATATCTGCCAAAAGATTTAATGTGTGTGTGAAAATCATTATTTAAACTCGAAGGTGTATTTTCTAATGGATCTGGTAAAACATTCTTATCAAAAATTCTTGCTTTCTGTGCTACAAGGAAGCTGGCGGCCATTGCAAAGAAGAAATTCTGAGTTATTAGCCGCAGCCAGAAGAATGTGCACGTAGGGCTCAGTAGAAAGAAATGCAATCTCTAAAAAAAAAAAAAATAACGAAAGAAAGAAATCACCAAAGTAATGGAGTTTTACAGTTAAGCGAAGTAAATAAGCATATGACTCTAAGTGTTTATTGAAAAGTTAATTGATAAAATTCACACATAATATTATTCCTTCGCTGATTCGTAAAAGAAGGCTCTGCAGTTTGGCTGAAGTAGAGTGTATTACATTCTCTTAGCTTTTTGGTAAAAACTTCTTTTTTATTGTGTTAGTCCTTCTGCTAATGTCTATGTTGCTGACGCTCCCTATGCCTACACATTTGTAAGTTGGTGTCGCTTTTTTTTGTCTTATGTAAAACTCTGTTAATGTGTTTCTTAAAAATACATATGAATGATTGTTATTCTTTCGAGAGAACATACGTCATTATACATTAATTATGCAATTTATTTAGAGGTTTGTGAATGCATTTTATTTCTTTCTTTATAAGTTATATAATGTAATGTATATACATACGTGTATATGTTCATATTTATATTTTTTTCGTTATTGTATATATATCTTTAAGTGTTGTTCATTTAATTTTAACATTATTTTAAGTATCAATGATATTACGCAAGAGAAGATGTAAAAACTTTGTATACCGGAAAAACGTTTAAGTACACATCTTTTTATATAACAAGTGATGATCAGCCATTAAATTGTTATTGAGCAGTGGCAGTATAGGAGAGATCTTCGTTTGGTGGATATTTATGGTGGCGTTGATGACGTATCACGTATGGATGTTTTTCATTGTTTTCATAGCTTGACAGGTATTCAAGTTTCAATAATTTTTCCGGATATTTTTGTAGCAAATAAACCCAACAGGGTACCGTGCTATGTGAATTGAAAAATTAAAAAAAAAACAAATTATTTTTGATCGCAAATCTTAGAAGCAAAGTTTCGCAAACTTTTTCTCTCACCCCTCTCCGACACCAATATTCATGTCGAGCATTTCCCGCGTGTATATATCCTGGCAATCTTCTAAATCATCTAAAACCTTTAACATCTTATTATCTACTTCGTAAATTTCACCAGTGACATAAAATCCTATGCCAGGTTTATTCAGCAGGAATGGTATGTTGTAACGGGTAGCTATGACCAGGGGCAGCTTCTCAGCGGTTGTGGCACGACACCAGTATTTTGCATAGCCATTGGCATTATTAGACAAAATGGAATGACTTGGTTGGCCGTATTTTAAAGTTCCACACACAAATAACTTTTGTAGAACTGAAGATGCTTTCTGAAAGAAGCAAAAATTCGAAATAATTCACATGACTTTTCTTATGTAGAAAAACTTTTTATATGCTGTTATAATGAATTTTTGTTGAATTGCTGTTTTTAATTTTTGTTTTGTTTTCCTTAAATGCAACAGGTTTTTCTATACACGCAAGCCTTGCAGTTAAAAAGATGACGTTTAAAACCGGTTGTGTACGAAAAACAAATATATATATATATATGCATGTATAATATAATCAATTCGGTAGAGAATGTTCGTTAAAATGATTGATAGCTGTGCGTGTTTTTTTTTTTTCATTTTCTAGAGCAAAAAATAACGGGTGGAACGGCTTTAGTGTTTTTATTATAATAATATATAAAAATATATTTTTCTTTATCGTTTAGAAAAATAACATAAACTTAGCACTGCAGGCTTTTTTAGCCTACACCATTTCTCGTGCCAGGATGTATTAAACTTATGCGCATGCACTTAACACGCAGAGGAATTTAGGAGAGACCCATCTTCCATTATACAGAATCACTTTCTAAATTGATCTTGTTCGTCTGCCTCTCCGTCTTGTGAGTCTATGTTCATCGCACAGATTGCAATTTTTCAGACACTTTGCTGAAATTTGGTATATTGACAAGTTTTGACCCGAAAAGGAACGCTATTGAAAATGGTTTGGATCGAACGATTTTTTCGACTATTTCCTAAACAAAGCACTATTTTGAGAACTCGTTATACGATTGACTGTATTAAGTAAAGTGGTGTAAGGTGTCTAATAGTAGGCCATGGCTTACAAGAATGCTTCTATTTGCATTACTTTACTATTAATTATCAATTATCACAAAAAGAAAAATGTCGTTGTACTTTTGAACTTGATCATGATGTCTTCAGTAACTCTCTTTCATCGTGTGTTCTACAGGTTTATAGTCAGAAAAGAATCCCGTATCTTGAACAGGAATAACCTAATCGACCCGAAATGTGTACCAGAGGCGCTTTGAAGAACTGTGCATACCACGTTGGAGCAACAACCGCAATGTCACTTATGATAATTTCTTCAAGAGCTATGAACTGAAACAAAGTTTATTCGTTACTTGCATTAACAAATACGCTTTTTCTTATCTTTTGAAGGTTTTTCCATTTTTATATTATTCGAAATCAAAAAATATATGGCTTGTGTATAATAATTTACGTTTATATATAGCTTGTTTGGATAAATAAATGAATTTAAATTATAAACAATAACATTTTAATTATTGCCATGATTCCCATCACAAACTGAGAGGCGCGTTCTACCCCCGATGGTATCCTAAAAAAGTTAGATCTACTGGCAACCACTTGGATACATAGAAAATTTTTTATAACACTGTTCTTACACTCTCCTCCAATTATATCATGCTGAGATTCGCTGTGAATTAAGATTAAAGTAGCTTATATAATGGGGTTGTCATTAAAACGGCGCTACGAACTTTTATTCTGTGACTTATTTTAACATGTCTGCCTAAAATTATTCCTTGTATTTTTGTTTTTGAACAGAGATGAAATATAATGCGCTCGGACGGGCGCTGTTGGAAGTTGGGATTAGACCATTATTACGACTATTCTCCACATAAGCCCTTATTTCTAATATCTTCCGGCAAAAATCAGTACAAAACAATATTTTGGGAACTTAAGTAAATGTGGAAAGGTTAAATAGTACGGAACCATTTTTTTGAAAGCTCCCACATGTAAAAGTTCTTACAAAAAATAAACCTTCACACAACAATTAACTCTATTTTTTAATATATTACTGTGGAAACTGGATCCGAATAGCGGCTCGACAGGTATGGACATTTTTTCGACTATTTTCCATATAAAGTACACCTTCGTGAAAAAGTGAACCCTTACATGACAACAAAGTATAATTTTAGGTATTTTACGACAAAAGTAGGTGAAAAGCGGCATTAACGTCTTAACTTCGTTGTGCATAAAACGTATTTTATCTATGTCTTGCAGCTATATTAAGGACATCAAAGAAACGGCCCATCCTCATATTTGCACAGCTAAACATCCTAAATGGGTAACGGTGTTCGATCCATATAAGAAAAAAACAGCTCGTGAATCATAAATAATTAATAGAAAATAATAAGAATACTATAGTCGGGAAAGAACGAGCATTAGATACCCTACACCACTTCGCGGAGCACGATTTTCACTCGATTTGGTAATTATTTTCATGTAAGAGCATACATTCCACCAAAGCCCGCAGAAATTTTGAAAATTTCAATTTTTTCAAAGTAAGGCGTCACGTGTGGACTGGGCTAAAAGTTAGGCCAGTTCAAGTCATCTTCAGTAGTTTTCGCCATTGGTTCAAAATACGTCAGCGTACAAAATTTCATCAAAATATCTCAACAATTGCGACCTGCAGGCACCAATTCACGCAGGTAGACATCGAACGGACTGTTCAAACGGACAGACAAACTTGCGGGGGGGAGAGGTGAGTGTTGCATATGTCCGCATAAAGTTAACATACTTTGCACCACAGGTGGTGTATAAATTACAGTTGTAATCCATAAATATTTACAAACCATTGTAAAGAGACATTAAGTTTTTGTTGCATTTTTTTCCGTCAAAATAATGAGTTTAGTGTAAAGTTGACTAATAATAGGTTTTCAAACGAGTGCCGTCTGTTTACTTGCGTAGGCTCTCAAAAACAATATTTAGTCCAGACCCACAACAAAATTAAAAAAAAAAAAAGAAAAAACAACACAACTCCTATTCGTGAAAATACAAAAGCAACAAAACCGATCGTACATAAGTATATCCAATAACTTTACATGCTTACCGAATGCTCAAAAAGGCAGCAGCACCACCATATGTTAATGGCAAACGCAAAATTGTTAAACTACGCAACGCAGTCCAATAAAAACGGAACTGGTCAGGTTTCGCCGTTTCCTTTCTTATCTAAACATTACTTGCAAAATTTGTGGATCCATCAGTGTAACTTTACTTGGGTACAATCTTAACTCAATTGATGTCCCACGTTCGTTATCGGTTCAAAAATAACTTAGGGAAATTTATTGAAAGCTAAAGTGTACCCACTGATCGCCAATTTTTAGACGCTTATCCGTATATTCATAAACAAATATGATATCCCTTTACACAAACGCTAAGTAAATTTGATAGAAAAATGAAAATATTTACATATTTACATATTTCTTCACTATTTAAGCCCATGATATCTAAATCCACAAAAGTGCTACACATATATATGTACGCAGGTAATAATCTTGGGTGGCAAGAAGAGAGAGCATAAGAAAGAGAAAACTTGTTAGCGAGTATGAGATTGATATTGATAATCAAAATTTACCGGTTAAAATTAATAAAAAAAAATATTTGTGAAGGGCTTTTTTGATTGTTCACTCTTACCCTAAGGTTGCACATAATTTGTGTGTCTGCCAAATCAGAAATTAAGGAATTAAGGAATCAAATTATGGTTCAATTTTTTCCTTTTTTTTTGTTCACTTATGCAGACACTAGTTATACGTATAATATTTTTGGAAAGCACTTGCGAATTGTTGTCCGTTTAAGAAATGAAGCGAATGCGAACCTTTGGAGAGCACAAGTTGAACTAAATTTCACAGACGAGGCATTCACGAAATTGACGATTTACGCGAAAAGACAAGAGTTATACTTGAATAGAGGAAAGCGTCTGTCAAGAGCTTTGCTTGATAAAATTTTTAAGAGATTCATAAATGTATGGAACAGAAATTCGCTTAAATTGCGTTTGCCTCGATATTCGCTTTTTAAAAATCTAGAAGCCTTTGAAAACAATGAGAGTAACTGTAATGAAAACTGAACTCTCTCTGGTGAACATATTATTAAGCGAAGAGAGTATTTACGAAATCGCTTTAAAACAAAGAGCAAAAGTGAATGAGATTTTAAATCAGGTGATTTAATAAAGTAGCTAAAGACGAGGGAAGATTTCGGGACTAGGATAAACGAAAAGCCTGATCCTTTAGAGCATATGGTGGCCAATATGTAAATGTAAAGAAAGATAAGGAGCTCGCACAAGAAATCTTAGATCGATTTGACAAAAGCGAGTTTGAATCTACCGCAAATGACACATATAAGGTTTTCCCAGAGCTTTATCTTCATAACGCTTAGTTAACGTCGAAGTAATTACAAGCCCTTCAATCCGTTCAGAGTCCTTCACAAAAATCCAAATTATATCTCTTAATTAATCTCAATATCGGATTCTGTCTTAATATCTTAGTATCCTTCGAAAATTAACTGAATTTGTTATCGGTTGTCCAGCTGAAGCGTGTTTGCAACGCTTTAGGGGTTGACTCACAACTCGGGCTATACATGCAAATGCTTTTCTTCTTCTCTCGGTCTTATTTACTTACACATGAAATTTTTTCATTTTATATTTTTCGTAATTTTTTTTCTTTAATTCTCTTTATGCACCTTGTATTAGTTGTTAACAATAATTAGCATAAGATTTACTTGGAAGAGTCCATTGAATTCGGTTGTTAATTTATTTAAACTTAATTTTATATGTAAATAAATAAAATAAAAATAAAAAAAAGTTTTCTTTTATGGCATCTCAGACCGTCTTCCTCAAATTAACAACTACACCTGGGGTTTGTAATATAACAAACTACATTGAAGGCTTTTGAATATCATAATGTTAACACTTAAAGATAAGAAATGTGCACTTTAAGGTATGAAGAACCGTTTCAATTGTTCAACCTACTGTTTAACGTAATTAAAATCAGTTTTTCTTAAATTGCGTAAATAAAATAGAAGCAACATCACAATTGTGGTCCTACAGAAACCTACACCGGTTCATACAACATTTCTTTAAATTATGGCTTTACAGGAGAAGAAGTCCGCCTTTTATTCAAAACTTAGATTTGATTTTTTCCGGCAAAAGATCTATCCAAGAATTCTGGCCACCTTGCAGACTTATGCTACTTTGTGAATAAAAATCTCTTCGCTCTTTTCTCAAATTTATTTCACACATAAGACGAACACTTAAATGAACTTTTTCTGACGTTGATACTCTCAGTTAACTACTTACACGTTTCTATTAGTGTTATTATTACAATTAATTTAGCCAAAGAAATAACTCTTAGATGAAAGTGTTAAACCTCTACCGCATTTGGGATTTATACCCACGATCATTGAGCGGTTAGTCGAGACAAGACCTTCACACTTTAGCCTAAAAGTTTTTTTCAATAGTTATTCAAAAACAAAATTGCGGTGGCTTTCACAAAAAAAAAAAAAAAAAACACAAGAGAGAAAAGCTGCGTCGGCCATAGTTGTAACACATGTTAACGCAACCCCATGGATGGAGTGAAAAATTGTACGAAATTATTCCATGCGAATCTTCGTTTACGCCATGCATGATTTAAAACGATAATCAAGTATTGCTACTAAGTAAACATCGCATACATGACAATAACGTACGTACGTACATTAAAAAAAAATCTTATTATACCCTAGATCCCGCTTGCGATAAGGTTATATTAAGTTTGTGCGGTCGTATGTACATTTTGCTGTAAGAATCAAGTCAGAATCAATCAGTTTCTGATTTACAGGGAGTCACTTCTGGAAACGAGTTAAGCATGCGCGTCTGAATAAACTGCATTTTTTGTATTTTGTGACGAAAATAGGTGAAGAATAATAAATCCCTTGAGAAGAAACCCATTGCGTCAATGCGAACCATTTCTCGCTGGCAAGTGTAAAAGCCACAGCACTCGTTCCTGAACATACTTTTATCAAACAAACATGGAAACATTATAGTTGGGCTAAGCCGACTATTACATCCCGTACACCACATTGCCTAACACAATTATTATTTTTGCCATAGAAAACCAAAATTATGGCCTGTTTTTATATCAGCTTACTATTATGGAACTGAATATTAAAAATTAGACCTCTTTGCAAATAAAGGGTTACCCTTCGTAAGAATGGCTGTGCTAATATGAGTTCAAAAATTGAGGTACGTGTTCAAAATTCAGCACAGTTAATTTTTACATCAAATTGCTATTGTGGGTCAAATTTCCTCATAAAATGTTAAAACTGAAACTTTTCTGCCACAAAAAACAAATATTTTCGTACAAATCGTTATATAGGCTACTATCTAAACATAAGCATGGGTGGCCCAAATTTGGTATAGTGAAATTTTTTTTTGTCTTAAGTTTCTGGTATAAGTTAAGTTTCATCATAATACCAGGACTGTCTTGCCCGATGATGGATCCATTTCCGTAAAAAACAAACTATAATGGTGGATCCAAAAAATAGGCCGAGAAGATTCCAATTTGATGCAGGTTAAATTATCATTATAATCTGATTTTCATCATGAAGCATTGGAACTTAGTTCTTTTGATCACATGAATTTCAGTTTTCGTTATAGCTCGGAGAGGCTCAATAAATTGCCCCAGCCCATCCAAACTTTCAATACGAATTTAGAAATATTAGTACTGAGCCACTTTTGTCGAAAAATTTTGAAAATTGAAGTTTTTTTCATATAACGATTTTATTAAATAGGTCGATAAAGTAGACCCATCCAGACCATTTTCAATAGCACTCACCTTTGGGCCAAAACACATCAGCGTGTCAAATTCCATCAAAATATCTCAAAAATACCGACCCGTCGCTTGAGTGTATGCTTCACGGACAGACGCCAGACAGGTTTAAATCGATTCAGAATCATTTTTGATATAATAAAAGGTGGGTCTATCTTAAGTCCTTTTGCGTGTTACATACATCCGCACAAACTTAATGCATCCTGTAGTCCAAGCGGTGTAGGGTACAATTATATACAACAGTTCCAGCTAATCTATACGAGCGACTTATCATCTTCTCCAACATAGTGATGATCATGATTTGATTCAAATTTTAATTTAATATTTTTAGAATGATGAGGTGACGTGTAGCGCGGACAAGGGTGAATAAATTTTTTTAAAAATTTGCTAATAGGAATACATGTGCTTGTAGAAACGTATACAGTTAAGTCTTGTTTTACTCGCTTGGCAGTGATTTGAACGCAAAACGGCTTTGTTTTAAACTTCTTTTAAAACTCGTATTGCAATCGCTACACGTTATTGCTAATAAAGTGATCAGAAATGGGAACGTGATATATTACTTTCTTTCCTCTTTTTTTCTAGTCTACCTTTGTACCTTTGTGCCCTTTTGTGCAGAGCTTATGCATTGCAATCTTTCATTTTATCACACGTGCTTTATTTTTTTTCTTATATTCGCTCATTTTTCTTACTGCCATGCCCACTTCTTTCGTTTCATTCATTCGCAATGCGACACAAGGAATGCAAGCAAAGGAAAAGTTCACCCGTAGATTATCTTTTGTTTTGAGCATAGTAAAAGACTTTACTGTATGCAAAGCACGTAATACATTCAAAACTCGCGGATGTTATTGCTCTTGAATTTTACTGCCTTTAAAGCAGAGGTTTGCAAATCTTACGCTACTGCGGCTCTCCGGGAGAAAACTAATTTTGCTCATCTCGGTCCTTTAAAGTTTGGCAGGAGACTTTTGGCTGGAAGCAAACTCCAAAGGACCCCTTTTTCATAGAGACGAATTGCTGGAATTTGGAATGTAGCCATGGCAACGACTAGACTTCCTTGCATCAATTATATATTGATATTAAGATTATATTAGAAACAACCACAAAAGATCAACGTTTTATTATTGGCCGTAGCGAAGCTACTGATGTAGTTTGCGAAATGGTCTGCTTGCTATGCCCATACCCATCCGCGCAATGAAGGTGGAGATTCGACAGTGCATCAACGAAATTCAGCACACAATGCGTAATGGGCTGGGAAAATTTCGACAAAAGAGTGCGTAAATGTCAGCAAAGCCGTGAAGACCATTTATTTCACACATAACCCTGTCCTGGATACATTGGAATTGCAATAAATAATATTTGCATAATATTAGCCAATGGACAAATCTCAATAATTGAACATGTGTTTGTTTAATCTATGGGAACAAGCGTACATGTTGGTTTACACTTCTCAGTAATTGAACATGTGTTCAATTGTAGCTGGGGCTCATCTTGTGTTACTTTAGCTTAAGAATTTATTTCATTACTATAAGAATATTATAATAATAATAATAAAATTAAAATCATATTAAAGAGTTGCATACAAAGAGAGGAGAATAAACGGACACTTTTTCCTTTTTTGTTGATCTCATACTTTTGGTCGTTCTTCATGGCACCTTAGACCTTAGAGGAAGCTCGTGTCTACTTATAATATTGCGTACGTGGCACGTTACGTGTTCGGGTTCACTTAACACATTTCAGTAATGAGGAATAATTACGTTTCCAAGGGATGGATTTTTGTTAAAGATATCTTGAAAATCAGTATTGTTCGTCAATCCACTAACTCTATTAATGCGTTCTGTTTCATGAATTGATCAAGCTATGCTCTGCTCTCTGTTCTGGTCCCAGCGACATGTATTCGAATCAAGATTTGGCGCCTTTATACCAAGTCACCTATTTATTTATTTGAACCAAGGGCTCTGGATCACTGTCTGCAAATCTTTTTGTTTTACACCATCTTTTTGCCATGTTGGTGAACCTGTTCATTGCCACATCTCCTCTCAAGTCGTGGCGATCGCTTCTCATCACACTTCAAATAATAAAAAAATATAAATTTTAGTTTCTTTCGCGTCAACAGATTCCGTCTCCCCCGATTCGAAACCTCTGCTTTAAAGAGATTACTAAACGCGGTATAGTGCTCTTATTTATGGAGTAGGAACGTCTTCATAAATTCTTTATCAGCGGTTTTTTTTTTTTTGTTGTTATGGCAAAAAGACGGTCGTTTCACTTTTATAAAATTCATTCATTTGTATTTTGATAAGAGATTTTCGTTGCGCTTGCACGCACTATCTCTTCAAATACTATAATAAATTTAATCTTCGTCCCGATGGCAAACACCATCAGGGCCGTAATGATAGGAACTCTTGCGACAAGCACACATATTTGGAAGGAAGCAATAACCCAAGCGACCACAATCTCTGCGAAGACAAAATTTTTCTTTATTACTTCATATCTTCATGTAGATATAAACGTAATATTTACTGTTTACACTCTGGCATGCATAACTGGCCGAATGGCTTTTGCTGATACTTATAGCCCTGAAAACAAGTGCACGCTCCGTCTTTATCACAATTACCATAAAGACAACGACTGAAACACATAGAAAATCATTTCCATTTCTGATATCTGATAAATAACTTCAGCTTTGCCATCTCACCCCAAACATTTATCCTTAACCGAGGATAATTTTCTGCATTTTTGCCTCAATTTATCAAAAAATGTACTTTTTCCCGGACATAAGCATAATTGTGGACCGGCGCAATAGCCTCCAGCTTCTTTGCAGCCTGGTAAACATTCCCGACTGCATATTAAACCTTTTTCACCCGAAGTCATGTAGAAGTTTTCGCAAGGACAGACGCCGTCTTCGAAGCAAATATCGTTAATACACTTTAAAGGACAACGAGATACACAATGTCGCGTATTCACAATCAACATTTCATAATCGGAACACCACGAAGTGGAAGGATTCAAGTTCAAAGCCACGCTTAAGACTCGAACAATAAGATGAAAGGCTACAATGTGTATAGTTGTAGTTAATCCAAAAGACATTTTAATTTATTATAGCGAAAAATTTTAATCACGTGTTTATACGTAGATAGCGGATCTTTTAAAGTACAAATATGGGTGAGGTTTGACGTGTTAATTAAATTGCTTTTTCAGTGATAGCGAAAGTTTTATATACGCATGCAGAGGCGGAATAATCAAAAACCAAAAAATGGGCCGCAAAATGGGATAATTTTTATAGAAATTTTTTATTATTATTTAAAGTCGTTAATGCGCTATTCAAGAAAATAGAAACATTGCCTGGTGTGTAAGTGGAGGGAAGTATAGCAAGAAAAAACGATTATTCACCATTACAGCACTTACAGCACGCTACAGTTGTTCATATAAGGGCTTTCAAAGTAAAGTAATCGACAATTTGGTCCGATCCGAACAATTTTCAGAAGTGTTCGTTCTCGCGTCAGTTTATCAAACTTCATCAATATATTTCAAAAATTGCGACCTGCACGTTGAACAAAAGAAACCAAAAAAAAAAAAAAAAACATGAGGACGGACCGACAGACGGTCAGACAAGCTTAGATCAATTCAGAGTGGTTTTGAATCGATCTTCAGTGCGCTGCATACTTTCTGGGTGTTGCATATACCCACTCAATCTTAATATCCGTTTGTATCCCAAAAATTCTCATTAAAATGAGGAAAATCGCGTTCTTTAGAAAGTGAAGGCCTCGAATGTTTGATTATGCTGATGGGTCTAGTCTGTCGCGGTGATCGAAACTGCGAAAAGAATTTGTTTTCTGATTATAGTTTTTCTGACTTTGTATTAACGTTGGCACCTCGGAGGAGTAGTCGCAAAAAACCCCTCGACATTCAATTATGCTACAAAACAAGATTGTGGAGTCACGGACGTAGCAAAGAAAGAAATGCCTTGATTTGTGACGCCTCTGCGATATTGCTCAGTGTATGTCTATAAGTCTGGCCGTGTGTTTATTTTATGTCATTTTTATTTATTTATCGATTAGTAACCAATTTATCAATTAGACCACTGTATGTGCCCAGTAACTACGGCAATGAAGGTATGTCAAGTTTTTATCCCAAGTTTAACATCCACAAACACACATTAGCGTGGATAACATTTTCGAGTGTCACTTTGAAAATCTTCATTGTTTAAGGCATGAGGCAGATGAAAATTCATTGCTTTCTTAATAAAAAGATTGCATTGAAATCTGTGTACACTGCAGAGTTTTGGATGAAGACAAGTCTCATTGTCTCATTGCTTTTTCAAAGAGTTTACAGAAGGAGAAGCGGAAGCAGCTGGAAAAAGAAAAACAGAAATTGAAAAGCACTCCTTTAACTTTCATTGGGTGTCTACTTCGAGAAACTGGAAGTTTCTTTTAAAGCTTATCCATGAGGATTTGCATTTGCATCCCGTTGATAAGCAGTTCATAGAAGACATGGGCTTTTCTGATGATTTCTTTGTACCGTGCAAAGTATTTTATTTATTGTGTACATATTTTGTAAACAAATCTGCAAGGTATGGATATAAACGCTGCCGGATAGATTAGATTATAAGCTCGTATGTTTTCAAAGCTCTACCGCCCTTGATATTTGAACCCGCGATCATTGAATTATTAGTCGCTACCCTTTGCCTAATCGATCACTCACGCGGAGTAAGGTATTCTTCAAATAATTTGTTTCACTTAGTTCATAAAAAGTTTGTCTTAATCGATGAAAAGCGTGACTGTCATATTGGTATACCCGGGTTCAATTTCTAATATGATAGACCATACTTCATTTATTATTCACGTCTGAATTCTCTATCGGTAAAGGCATATATGTATACATGCGCAGGAGCGACATGCAGAATCGCGACTATCAAGTCACGGTTCGCGGGTTCAAATCTTATTACGGTAGAGCATACTTGGTTGTAGCTGTAGAGAATGCCAAGTTGGCAAAGGCGTAGTAGTGCTTACCAACCCTTGTCCCCTTTATTTTTTTAATCGAGAACCCAATAGCCCTACAAAAGAAGTCGGCGAACTTTCTTTAGCGATTACTATTAACTCGATAAAAAATAAGAACCTCGCGGCGACATGTTAGCCAGAAACGAGGGGTCCAGGAAGTACGTTATCTTGATTTTGTTGAGAAATTGTGCGAAAAACCATCACAGTCGGCGAACATTCATAATCCTGATGCAAAATTAAGAATTATTTTGTTATAAATCGGATCGCAATGTAGTAAATATAGTAATTCAAGATGAAGGAGCGAAGATTTGAGAAACGTGCCCTCGGCAATGCAATTACCCCCCGTGCTTAGCTCACTTTCTCGCCTTTGTTTAATGGCGCTAAGGTATTGTATGTAAAATACATGATAATTTCGCGCTATTTAAAAATAAACAAAATGATTAGGAAAATTGAATATAAATAGAAATAATAAACATAAGTACATAACGAAATAATGTCCGTTACGTTTACAAGAATACAAAAACTATTTATTCTGCAACACATATATATATAGTCGGAGAAAGTCTAGAATATAAAAGGCAAGTTATATGTCTTAAAAGGATGAAGAAGAGCGTTTATAGACAGGGGGGTTCACCGATCGTGGTATCACAACGAAATTATAATTTTCTAATAGAAGCTTAGAAGACACATTACAAACTCTTTATAAGGAGGTCCGTAGCCTATACTCTTTCGCCAACACTCGCATACATCCACAAACATTACCTGATAGTTAGGAGCAATAAAATTTTTTGTTTTTTTTTTTTTTGATTTGCGATTATTATATAGGGTGTTCCAAAAGTTAAGCAAGATTTTGAATTAATTTTTAATTATTGTTCTTATAATTAGTTTAGTCACCAATGGATCCTGAAGAAGTCTTCTCCCCCAATCTGCTGTTGTGGACAAAATCTTACTATAAAGCACATTCTCTGCGACTGCCTCAACTTTTCCTTGGCTAGAAGAATTGCATTTGGAACGATTAACCCTTTGAACATTCTACAATCAGCTTCAGAACAGAATATCAATTCAATATTTTACTTTATTAATACTACTAAGCTTATTATCTAATATCCATTTATTTAAATTAGAGCCGATAGCCTGTGTTGCTAGTGCTCAATGTCTTTTTTTTAGTCTAAGAATTCAATTCATTAGTCTAAAATTAAAATAATAATAATAATAATAATAGTTTAGTCAGAAAAATCAACGTACATAGGATAGGGCGCCTTGTGTAGAATAGTTCATCGTGCAAATGATCTCCACGGCACAGCAGTGGTAGTAGCACAAAAGCACCTATGCAGAAATTGAATTGTTTCACGGGATCTATGACATGTGGCACCGTGCCGATGAAACCGCTCGCAACAATAACGTTCAACTTGCAATTATTTCCTCTCAATTTTTGTTCAGCGGTAAAGTCTTTTTTTTTTTTTTCTTTAAAGTGATCCATCAATTAGTGGATGTCACCTGTCACGATAACACTTGCCGAACAGGCACGCACTCACAAATCTAGGTCGTTCCCTATTTCTTTCTCAAACAAGACAGAATGTTTTAAACTAATTTGTACACTACTTGATTGAAGATGTATTGTCTGCCTAAAAATGGATTCATTTTAGAATGAATATCGTAGACAGCGCGATTAATTTTTCTTAATAGTATGCGCGATATGGGGATCAAAGGAGAGAGCTTGGAGAGTAGAATGCGAAAGGCATAGTGGTGGGTATCCGAGATTCGGCTTCCGCTGAATATAACTTTCTTACTTGTTTTTAATTTTTTTTTTTTTTTTTTTTTACTTATGAAGAAATAGATATCCATTAAAAATGTTTTAATAGATCTTCATCTGTCCTCTACAATCAATTTATTCTTCACCCACCACACAAGCAACCTACGCATCACGAAAAGAAAGGCTGCGTGTATTTGAAACCACACAATGAGAGAAAGAGAACAGATTCGCTTAACGGAGTACTCGAGCAAACATTTTCGATGGTCGCAAATGGTCTTATGCAGACGTAAAGAAGTGATATTTTATGGTAAATTGTTAAATATTAAAAAAAGTGTTGTTGTCATTACGTGAATGAGTTTAGAGCTTCCATTGGGATGCTATAAGAAAAATCGCAGAAGTCTTATGACAAAGGTTTGCTTAATTTATGGTGGGTGACGGGAAAACAAAAAGGAGAATACAACTTTAATTAAACTTAACGGTAAATTAAGGCACATGCAAGTGTGGGTGGTAGAGTCGTTAGCATGCATCGGTAATTATGTAACGTAACATGTTATTAGGCATATAAGCCTTAAAAGCGGATCAGCAGCGCATCAACGCATCTATTCGAATGTAATTGAATTTTAATTTCTTTCGGAGAGAATAACAACATGGGCATTGTCTCCCAATAATGAATCGCTCGATCATATGCACAAAGCGAGACTTAACAACAAAAAACAAGGCATTAAAGACAAGAGACAACAACACGAACACAGCACAGCACAGCACAGCACAGCAACACAACAGCGTAACATCGAGCACAACCAAACATCAAACGAAACAAGAAGATAGTGAGAAGCTTTTCTCTCCAACAGTGGAGCTAATGCGCGGGCGCATTGTGATGTAATGTGTTTTTTTGTTTGTTAGCGACAGCGACAGCGGCAGCGGCGGGCGGATTATAATGCGCATAAGACTAACAGCGTCTCTGGGCGAATTACATGCATGTATATAAGAAGTATTTGGATGCATTGTTGTTGTTGGTGTTGCTTCTTTTTAAAAGTTCTCCTCATGTAGCGATAATAAAAAAAAAAAACTCTACTTGCAATAGTGTGGTGCTGCTACGTTGTCTCTTTTCTCGCGTATGCTAGACTTGTCAGTTGTTGTTTGTTGGTCTACTAAACCGGCCGCGGCCGCATATTTGAATAAAGGATAAATAGAAAATTTTATATAAAAAAAAAGTCTCGACGAAGAACATATGCGTAAAAAAACATTAACACAAACCGGAAGTATATTCAAAAGAATTTGAAAAGGAAAAGAGAAAAAATTGAAAAAATAAAAAAACAAAAAAAACAAAAAAAAACACGAATCTGGTTAGTAAGCTGTAATCTATTATTATTATTATTATTATTACACACATGCGTGTGTTCATGTAAACCTGCGATATGTGTGTGCGTGTTATTTATCACTGTTTATTTGTAATTATCAGTCTCAACTTAAAAGAGATATCAATGAAAAAACGAAAAGCAATGTTTCGTTTGCACAAATTTAACAGATATTCTTGGTCGCTGATGTGGATCATAATGAATAGTTTTTTCTGTTCTCGCGTCATAAAATTAAGAAAAAACGAAAATAACAAATAAAACATAAAACATATAGCCTGTGTGCGCATTGCATATACTACACGCTTGCTCTCTGTCTGTTTAGCTGTTGGTTTTTGGTTTGCTTCGTTGTGGTTGTTTTTCTGTCTGTTTTTGGATAAATGTTTGGCACTCCAGCCGCTTATTACGCTGCCGCACCCCAAAAGTCTTCGCACTCCGTGTGTGTCTTTCATTTTTTTTTTTTAATTTTAGTTTCTTTTTCTCTTTTTTTTTTTTTTTTTTTTTTTTTTTGCTTAATTTTGGGTTTAGTTTTGTTATTATTGCTTTTTCATGGCCACTACTCGAGGCATAATACCAATAATGCTTTTCAAAGCATTTGAATGTTTTACTATGAGTAGTGCGTGTGAGCGTGTGAATGCTCCTTAACGTTTGGGATAAAAATAGAAAAGCATAACGACATTTATTTAAATGTAGCGTAACCAGAATTCGTTTTGTATTCGCTAGGTACACTTTTTCTTTCATTATTATCTTCATGCAAAGACATGTAAATATTTTGGAGCCCTTTTAAGTTTCACTTTAATTGTGACATGACACGTAAACATTAGCATTAACGCTTTGCATTCTAAATTAGAAAGAATATGTTCAATCATTCATTAGAATCTTTTTAAAAAATATTTATTTTTTTTTGTGCGTACTGTGCGTATCAATTACGTTTATATATTATATTATATATTATTGTATCGCGATAGCGTCATTTGGTGACGATGACATTGATGTTGTTGTTGTTAGTAGTTGCTGGCGCATTGATGTCCCGCGACAATAACAAAGCTTGCATAGTTTCCGTCTCTACGACGGTACCGGTAGTGGTGACGGCGGTGGTCAAATTTTTGTATTCTGCCAGTCGAATGATCATCATCGACAGTGCCAGTTAAATTTTCTCTTATTGGGTGCGGTTCACATGCAACAATGTTTAGATAGTTTTATTTTTATTATTTCGTCATCATTGTGTACAATATTTCTAAACTGGTGTGTTTGCGCGTGTTGGGTTTCATTTTGAATTCTAATCAAATTTTTTGTGATTTTTTCAATTACAACTTGAAAGAAAAGCTTTTCCATCGGCTGCTGTCATAGTCGAAAGCAGGGAGCAATTTCGAAGAATCGCCTTAAGAAATATTTATGAAAATTCTTTTAGGTTTCTTCTAGAATTTTTTTTTTCTGCATACCCTACTCCACGTGCCATACAAGAGTGTATTAGAGGAAGAACTTGAGATAGACCTACTTTTCAATACACCGATACCGAGGAACTAACTCTGAACCGATTTAAGCTTGTCTGTCCTTCTTCCTTTGTTATACTCAATCTACAGGTACAAAATTTTTGAGAAATTTTGATGAAATTCGGTGCAGCAGCATTCTTTGGCGCAAGGACGAACGCTGTTGAAAGTAGTCAGAATCGTACCGTTTTGTCAATCATTTCCTGTGTGCCACCTTGTTTGGAAAACTCGTTACATGAACAACTATGGGGAGGGTATAGGGCGTGTAATGATGAGCTGTGTGGTTGCCATAGAGTTTTTACAAGCATTTTGAAAAAAAAATTAATTTGAATGGGATCAAACCTTAAGTCGAACGACTGCAGTTGAACGGGTCAGCATTTCTTAAAGTTCAGATTTCCTGGCCTAAGGTTATTTTGCTAACTTGTGTCCAATTACGTCCTGGGATTGTGTACAAAGAATTAGTCGCTATCGTTCGACACAATAACGCGATTTACCCTAATTCGTAGTGAGTATAAATGCAAAAATTTCAGGAAATTCTGGAGAAATATTACCAATATTAAGATATTAGGAAATCTTCCATACAGTTTGTTATAATAGTTCATGTTGTGTTGTGTTGCGCCCCAGTGTAGTTGTCATTTCGAGCAAAAAAGGCATTTCAGCTTAAGAGCTAGCAGAGTTTACGGAGCATATGAAATCTTTTACCTGCAAATCCATCTAGTGATCTGCAAAAACACCTTAAGAAAAATTACCCCAAATTTTTGCAAAACGCCATTTTCGAACAAGCTCCGAGGAATTTTATACACTCTGACCATGCATTTCCATAACTACGTAAATCGTGTTCAAAGAACAATCAATTCAAATTTAGTTCGTAACAATCAGAACATGGGGAGAATCATAGCAGTGTCTGTTTTTTAGACATCTTGGCTAGCTGTGTTCATCAGCATGTAACCTCTTCGAGATCTGTGAGACGTTGGACTTTGTTCACAACAACTCTCGTACAGCTGCCAAATTTTTCAGTTCTTTCTATCTAAGCGAAAATAATATATTCAATCTGATAACGCTGCCATGTTCTGTCGGCCATACGGATGTACACAAGATTCACAAGTCACAAGTTGATACTTTGCATTATTCGTCGAACTGGGTTGAGAAATGATAGCGAGCATAATTTAAACAGACTCAACAGTACTAACATTATGATATTTAACTGTCCCAGCCCTTAAACGTTCCTCTCTGCCAACGTTCGTGTCAGTGGCACTCAAATTATTCTATTTAGCCAGATACCTTAGCTATATCTTAAGTTCTCCTTGAATTTCAGCCTTCAGCTTCAATGATCTCAATATCATTTATTGATTCAATGATATCAATACCTTGTATGCCAGTTCTAGGATGAAATTTACCCAAAATCCTAAAATTAGGTCGATCGGTACTTCTTCTACGCTACAATACTATATTTCTTCAAAATCCCCATAGTATTGTTTTAATATTAAATGTTTATGTATGTGTAAGCATATTTTTGATCATTGAATGTTGTCCAAGTCGTAATCTTTTATAGTTCAGAAATTTTGAATCCAAAGCTGAGGACAGTCTCCCTGTATCAAGCATCTTTATGAACTCGACATGAATACATAGCAATGTCTCTCGTGCCTGTACAAGTTTAATCATTTCGCCTACAATTTATAAGTGGTATGATGTATGCCTGTTATATACCAGGCCGTGTTGTGACTGCAACTGTATGAATATGAAAGATTAACATGACGATTATCTTGCAATGCAGCGATAAAAAACAACCTTACATTTATTTACTAACAGTAAGTTTAGAGCACTAAGGCAAACTTTCAATGTATCTGTTACGAAAAGGTCGTAGCAATACATTGGAGACTTTATTCTAAAAATTTTGTGAAATGTTAAAAGGAGGGCTCAAGTTTCTCAGTTTTCTCATACAAGATTTACTTAAATGCATTGAACTAGGAAGAAGTCTTCTTTTCTTCTCCATGCAAATAAGTTCCTCCCCTTTCTTTCTTTCTTACGATGTGTACCTTGTGTACATTGCCAGCTACTACGAGATACTCCTCTACGGTTGGCAGATCTTTAAAAAAACGTAAAGAATCGTACTTAGTGGAAGGGAAAAAAAGACTATTACTGGCCACTTTTGACTATGTAGCCGCTCGTGCCTCCTATAACGGATTAACACACCTCTTCTGTTCTTCTTTGGTTGTTATTACAATTTTTTTTTCCTGCGACCATTAACTTAGGAGACGGTTATAGGAAGAATGGGTTGAAGAAAAGGAGTAGTGTTTGTGAACGTTCGGCTTGAAAATGGGGACATCAGGTACGGCTGGAAAGACCACTGCTGGCTTTTTCAAAGTTGGGCAATACGGTTAAAAAACGACGATATAGTTAAGCCCTGAACGAGCTGAGAGAGACATATACACATGTTGATGGATTTAACTGGTTGATGTGTCTCTTCTATCTCCGGGGAAACTTGTTCTGAATGTGGTTGTGTATACGTGCACCTCAGTTCTTATCGAGAGCTCTGCACGCATTTCCGTCCGTAGCTGAGCCTCTTGGCATATGTAGTCGAGGGCTTCCAACTAAAGTCGGACAGCTCCTGTCCTCAGATGTGAGTTACATCCTAAATTTTGCCCAGATATAGGTGTAAATAATACGGACATCGGTTGCCGTGAAGTTTTCTTTGCACCGATCTCCGCGGTTGTTCTATCAAGCCGGCACTGCTTCGTATTCCCATGCCGAGAACATCAAGAGGTTCTGATTTTTCTACACTGACACTACTAAAAGAGAGGAGTTGTTCATCACTTTTCCTGTGTGTTAGGAGACAACTTTAGGGTTGGGTTGCGTTATGCCTTGTTGCTGCATAGTTCCTTGCTAAAAGAAAACGAATGACACAAACACCAGGACGAGAAAAAGGGAACGAAAAGAGATCTGTGATACATCTGCATTTAAATAGAGTTCACTTGATGAATATCCGTTGATTCTAACAATTATCGAATGGTTGTCCAAGAAACTGCGTATGAGCCGAGCGAAAATGTTATCAACGCCACACACAATCAGTTGGAAAGCAAGTGCACCATGTACTCTGTCGAATGTCCTGGCGATATATAGGGCAACGGCTTTACTTTACTTTACTTTCGCCAAATTGGCGACTAGCTCGGCTCCCCTTTTCGATGGGGTACGATATTAGGCCAGGATTTATGAAATTACTCTTCTTGGGCAAGCGTGGACATTGACAACCTTGCAGCAAGTTGGAAAAAGGCGAGCATTTGATCTCTACAAATATTACTACGTTTTTTCTTAAACTATATAAGAGTACCGTAAAAATAACGCAAAAAAACTCAAGACCGCACGATCACTTGTTAAAATCTTATAGTACCCCTCTAGTTACATCGAAATGGAGATAGCCCATATTTTATAGGGTTGTGTCTTTCTGTCAAAAAGATGTCTTCAGTAAGCTACGATTTACTGCAAAGTAAGAAAAAACTGAAGAAAACCAAACAGACCAAACAAACCTTTAATTGTAATCACAAAACCAAAAATGTGCATTATTGCTACTGATTGTCATGCCCGGTGACGGTACAAGACTGCAAAGTATGAACCGTTTTACAACAACTTTCAGACACGTAATGCTACCCTACTTTTTGGACATTGCTTTGTTCAGTATAAGGGAGATACATGTGGCAGCTTTTGGTGGTGGCAAATCCTGGTCATAATAATGTAATAACATTTTTCTAACAGCATGCGGCGTCCGTTAAGACACATCAATAAAATGGAGTTTTGTTAATTCCCTATAGGTTTTTATAATGTACTGGGTATATTGCAGTTGTGCTGCAAGTGTGTAGACACACCCTAGGGTGCGTTTTTATGGCATAAAACATGATGTCGTTTTTACTTACGCTTGTCTTTCCTATTTTTGTTTAGTTCTTATAATCACTTTGTTATTCCTCCAATATCGTCAATATTGTCAATTGCCTTAGCAAAGACACGGTCCAAACGTGGAGATAGTTCATCTTTTTAGCAGAGCATATGTTATATAAAATTCAATTGTAATGGAGTGACTCGACGCAATGACAAAAATATTTCTCAAAATGCCAAATAAAAAATCGTAATGATAAAAAATTCGAAGGAAATCCGACAAGGACGGATGCTCCGCTAAATGATGATTCTGCTAAAATGACTTTGATTTCTTTGCAGATTTATAGAAAATGTATTGAGTATTAAGAACTAGACAGCCGACAGATGATTCTTGCTGGCCGATGAAATGTTAACAGCATTTAGTGAAAAGAGAAGAACATATCCTGCACAATGTGCTATATAATCATAACAGGTGGCAGTTTAATATGGTTTTTATTAACTTTAATTGCTGACATGTTAATAGCGTCGGCCATAGTAACACCGAAATGGCTTATAGGACCGGCAGCTTACACCTTCGCAGTCACATCGCAATCTTTGCAACACGAAAATGTGACCAGATCAACAACAATTTCTGAAACGCCAATAACAACAGCCACAACGACAGCGGTGCGTTATCCGTCCGTAGGTATCTATACACGCTGTAAAGCCATGAAAGATATTGGTTTTCATTGCGGGCCATTCGATTTGGACGGATTCGCGACGGATAGCAGTATTTATCCAACCGCGTGGAAAGCATCCATGTTTTTTATATCCCTGGGATTTGTTTTACTTACGTTGACCGTGTTGTGCACTTTGATATCGTGTTGCCGTCAATCGGTATTTGGCAAAAGTATACATAATATGACTGCTTGTGCTCAGGTGATAGCAGGTACGAGAATATAAAAACTTTACTTACATAACATATATATAAATAAGTTTATGTTAATGTGTGTTTTTTCTTTTTAATCAAGGTATTAGTGTTATGCTAGCTTTGTTTTTACATCCCGTGGGTTGGTCGGCTGCACGTGTACAACTCTTGTGCGGACCTGATGCTGAGCCGTTCTACGCGGCCGGTTGTTCAATAGGTAAAGACATTTTTTTTTTTTTTTTTGCGTTTTGCTTGAAATACATTTCCATTTCATTGGCAGGCATATCATTTTATTGCGCCGCTACAGGAATTTTACTCTGTTTTATATGCGCTGGGATTAGTATTAAAGCGGAATCTTCAAATATGCGTTCCCATGTTAAGAGACGCGTCGAGGAGGGTGAACGACTTGTTTGTATTCCATAATATGTAATTGAAGCTACCATGAGTCACAACAACAATAATCATTATATTGTTGCTATCTATAAAAAGAAAAACAGTTGAGATGAACATGTGCGTATATAAATTTTATCAATTTGGGTTAGGATTTGTCATCAGTAGAAATAAAATAATCGAAATCAGCATTTCTCAACTAAAATAAAAATACTCCCAATACAATTTAGTCAAAGATTAGTTGTGCACTTAAACTGTGACGACGATAAGAGATTTTTCGAGAAATTTTCACGAAAAAGTTTTCGAAAATATATTCAAAGATCTTTTAATATTTTCTTTTTTTGCAAAAACAAAACGAAGTGTCTTTTCGAATATTTTCTTGAAATTTTCTAAAGAATAATTTTTCGAAACTTTCTGCAAATAAATTCATTTAAAGTGGTTGCGACAAAAACTTTGGCATTTATTGCGGAGAGGCCTGTTGAAAATATACATAATAATGTAAAAACCAGTCCTCAAATGTTAAAACCGCTCCATGTTAATATGCAAATGCTTTTAAAGTCTACCAAACCTCAATGTGAACCTCTGCAAAGTTTTCGTTAGCTATTTGCTTACAGGTAAATTGCTGATTCCTGAAATACTGAAATTTTCCAACAACTTACAATCAAAGTAAGGATAAAAACAAAAAGAAGTAAATAAATAAAACTTTGTACTTAATTTTAAAGTGATCTGAAACGTGTACGCGAACTTTGAAGTGTAAAAATAAAGGAAATGATTTGCATACGATTGCCTATTATTATTGGATTTCATCCCAATTCTTTTTAGCTTTTCCAACAGTAAATTGAATGGAGAGAGAAAACTCGAAGCTTCGCTTGACATTTGAAGGATATTCAAACACAATGACAAATCATGGCTATAGTAACGTCTCCGAAGGGAGCATATTATAAAACTTTTAAGTCAGATCTACGAATGTAAAAGCTACCAAGACAGTTATAGTGAGGTAAGGTTCATCATGTGTTCGATAATTAAAGGACTTTTTGCACGAACCATGACAGTAGTAATAGCTAAGAATATCTAAGAAAGAAGAAAGACGGAAGGATACATATCGACATCGGATATCGATTTTAACCGCTTATATACCGAATATATGCTTATTCTCAAAGCGGCACAATACATGCAAAACAAATGAGAACGAATCTATGCTTATTCTTAAAGCGGCACAATACATGCAAAACAAATGAGAACGAATCTATGCTTATTCTCAAAGCGGCAAATGGTGTACTTGCTCTTAATTTTGGACAAAAAATTTGTCCCTATTTTGTATGAAAGTTCAATACAAATTCTGAAATTCTCACCTCGCATTCATGTAAAAACCTGTTCAGGGGATTAGACAAAACGAAAAGTTGAACCTAAATAAACCAAAGAAAAAATGCAATTATGAAAAACGAGAAAAGCGAACGAAAAATAGGCTAAGAGGCTAAGGAGGAATAGAAACGCGAATTTCAAAGACAGCGCCATATATGACCCTGACATCAGAATAAAAACTGTCATAAGCCAACATTAAGATGAGAAAGGTTTGTCCTAAACATGAACGTAAGTCTATGATGCAAGAACATGAGCCCAAAAAATTCATAAGGAAGAGTTTCTTTCTACGTTCTACCACCGGTCAGCTCTAATTAAATGCCGCTCAGTGTGGCCGAATTAATTACGATCCGGTCAGGGTAGGGTATGGGCTTTTCCTCTCTCCCTCCTTACTTCTTTTGTGCCACAAGACTTCCTCTGAGCGATTGGTCATTTTCAACCCTTAAATGCATAGAGACGTAATTGCAATCGTTTATGAAGCCACCTTTGCATAGTGCTTTTTTAAACCTTAAATGCATATTGTTGCTAGTTTTATTTTATTTTCAATTTTTTTTTATTCAAATTTTCTTAAAAACTTAACTTAACAATTAAGTGAAACTAGAATGTAGACATTTGGCAGCTGTATGAATTTAAAAGTTTAAAAAACGTGACACGACAACACAACGGAACGTTTCTAAACTACCTAAGTACTAAAAAGTCACTAAAACATTGCAAGAAATTACAACGTAATTGTATCAACGATGGACATGAAGAAAGTTTAACACTACATCTAGAAAAATTAAATTTTTCTACCTGATCTCTGCCCATATATGTTAGTGTTCAACTTATAACTTGCAATTTTCAAGTTATTTTGAGAAAACTTGCTACATTGACGTATTTTAGTTCATGAGCGGAGACTATTGAAACATTTTTACGGTAAATCCCTATATAACTTCTTATTTTAAAAAAATCATTATAGGAAAAAAATTCGAAAATATTGAATCGTTTTACTTCGGTAATTTTTTTTAGTTCTCTTCAATATAAATTACCATCCTCATGAAAAATAAGTCTTTATAAGCTAAAGAATATTAATATTAATCTGACATAAAAAGTAATTGTGCAAAATTTGGACTGATTAAGCCCTTACGTGGAAAAAGGGTCAAATTTTTAATACTTTATGGCGAAAATTGATCTGGAATAAAAATTTGACGTTAGTAAGAAATGTACGAAATTTAGGTCATTTAAGTCAATTGTTTAAATGTCATTCTGTATAAGGCTTCTTGTGAAAAGTAAGCAAACGCTTTTATATAGTAACAGAGTCGAGTATTTAGTTCGTTATGACGAAAAGACAAAGTCTCTGAAAAAAATTTCAATTTTCCTAAATTTCACTTTTCGGGGTAGATCGCTACAAATTTTCCACGCGCTTCTATATGAAGTTTACCGAAAGTGTTTGCGTGAGAACAAAATATCATTTTCAGTATTTTATCACGAAAATAAATAAAGAACAAGATTGGATGATATTTAATGGTTGGAGGAGCTTTGCTCGATTATAGTTTTTTAATTAATGCTTACAAATATTTGAGCCAAATGTCTCTCTTGGCGGTCGAATGTTCTTAGATATTTCTTTATCTATTTTGTATCCTCCACGGGAGCGAAGTTAACCTTTAAAACGAAAGCGTTCTTTTAACTTATTTTATGACTAATCCTTCACCTTCCTTACTAAAGGAAAGTGCTATTACTAATTAGGGAGAAGGTTGAAAAAACTTTTGCTTAAAAGCAATACTGAGTAACCTTCGCAATGCTTTAACATATTGCTTCGAAGGTTTAATTTTGTCTTTACATGAAAAATTGTGAATGCTTTAGCTAAACTTACTTCTGCTTATAGTCCCCATAGACTGCATTTGCATATGGCACTCGTATTTAATTAATTCATTTGTTGTACTTATTTAATTTACATCAACAATTTTTCACCTGCATTTATGAACATTTTGTTTACACACGTAAAGCATGGACTAGGAACCTCAACAACCGTGTCAATCCGATACGTTTGAAAATATTTAACACCTGGAAAATTACTGATGGACAACATTACCCCTAGCTATTGAAAAATAAACGCAGTGTTTAGGTTGCGAGTTGTAGCTACGACCAAAAATCAATTGTAACTAGCGTACGGTCTATCACTGATATTGAATCCTCAATGCCGACTTTGACATCCACAGTTGTTAATTTGGGAAATTTTCTACAGTGAAAATATTTTGCTATTTGAAGTCATTCAAGAAGGAAATTCATCAGACTGCTGTCAAACGAAGTATTTTTTTCCGCCACCGAAGCCCGGGTATAGGATTGTGGTTACGCATTTATTGCCCAGACGTATATATAAACGGCCAGATTGACACTGGGTGAATTGATTAATTATTTTATGCTGGCTGCCAAATAATGCATAATATATATGTAATATAATCTCCATGCACATATGCATATATATAAAATTCAATTTCTATCCATTTGTCTGGCTTTATTTTTACAGTTTTTGAAGTACTAAACGTTTCGAAAATTTTTGGCGAATTAGGACAAATCAAGCGATTAAAAGTGCACATAGATAAGCAATCGATTACGGAGTAGATTTTCCACCTTGCAATTAAACATCATACACAATCTAATAGTAAAAGTAATAATGGACTTTAAATTATTCAAATCGAACGAAACTTTCGTATTTTTTCATACCCTCGATTCCGGGCCCGTTGCAATTTTCAAAAATTATTTTTGTCTACGAGTAGGTAGAAAATTTTGTTAAATATGTTTTAAGCAGTATTGAATATATGGATATTATTACTTTATTAAGATATTGACAACCAAGAAATATTGTTAAAAAGTGCCACAATTACTAGGCGAAATTAGGCGAAGGGAATTTAAAATTCTCGTCTTCAAGTCCGTGGAAACACGTACGCGGTAATAATCACTGGTTAAAAAGAATCTTGTTAGTAACCTATACATATTTATATCATTAATTTCTATCCATCAAAAAATATACGCTTGATTTTAAATAATTGTTTACACACAAACATTAAATCTTTTAACAGATATATTTTATTATTTGAATTTAAAATTGAAGAGGGTTTTGAAAGACTTGCCTTACCTTCTCTTCCCTTTAGGTTTTTTCCCTTTATCCATTTCCTCTTTGCAACCTTTAGCTCTGGGTAAGTAAACGCTATGATTGGTTAATTTTAAGTGAGCAAATAACTTATTTTTCGATTCAAAATTCGCTTGACATATCGCGCAGATATGTAAAGTTTTTTCATGGCTTTCACTATTTGTTAAACCGTTGCTGTGATTAGTTTCTTTTGCTTCGTTTTTTGTAACAGCAGGACTAACGCAAGGAGGAATAGCTGTTTGCTTGGCGGTCTGGTCCTTGCACGCTTTTTGTTTGTTTTTGTTCTTCCTACCTCCTTTTTTATTTGCATTACCCCAGCTTTCGTCAGTATCTGTACCATTTTCATCTTTTTCCAATTCTTCTTCTCCGAATTTGTTCTCGTCATCTTGTCCTTCGAGTGTTATTATTGAAGTTTTCGATTTCTTGGCCCCTTTTTTACCTTTGCGAGATCTGTTTGGCGGTTTCAATTGCTCGTCTGTTAGCTCTACCTCTTCTTCCTCCTTCTTTCTCCCATTATTTTGATGCAAGTTTTCTTCGTTTTGCATTTCAGCCTTTAACTTTCCCAAATTTTCCCTATGTTTCTTACTTGTCTCATGGTTGGCAAAAGCGTTTTCATTTGTGAACGCCCGGTTACAAGCCACACAATATAAATCGTCTACATAATCCTCTGTATTGTCCTCTTCTATAACTATTTCACCATTTAAGCTAGACAGCTCGAGTTCATCATCATCAGTCCCCAGATCGTCTTCGTCATATTCTTCATCACTATATTGCTGCTCTAGTTGTTTTAATTGCTCTTCATAATCGTCATCCTTTTGGGCGTCGCGGCAAAGTCGAACCTCACCTAATTCTTCTTGACGTCTTCGAATCTGTTCCAAACGGTTCTGTTCTTGTTTTTGTCGGTTAAGAGCAGCTCTCTCCTCCAACAAGCGTTTATAGGCCAAAACACGTTTGTCGCGCTTGCGCACAAAAGCCACCAAATTACGAACCTACGAATGAGATTTTAAACCTGAACCCATTACTCATTTAAATTATATTTCCAAATACCTCTTCATTACGTTCTTTTTTGGCTTTTTGTACAACTTTCTTCATATCCTTTTCAATTTCTCTTAATATACGACGATCCTTGATTGCTTTTACATCGTACGGGCATAACCAGACATAAGTTTTCTTGGTACAATAAGCACTCCAATAAGCATAGAAGGGGCCTACTATCTCTTCATAACTGCTTTGAGAATTACCAAACGATGGCACTTTCTCCACTTCCATTTCATCGTTCATAAATTCAGCATCTTCGACAACTATTTGCTGAAACACGTTACTGTATACAGAATAAAAGCCTTTATCATCATCGCCATAACCTTTAAAGCACGATCCCGAAAAATATTGAAAAACATCCAAACAATTGTCTTCGTAATCAGAATTTTTCCCTCTTAATATCTGCTCCCGGTGATTATCATACCAAGCACGCTCTTGCGAATCAGACAAAACATCATAAGCTTGCTGTATTAGTTGAAAACGTTCTTTTGCCTCATCCAAACAATTCAGATTTTTGTCTGGATGCCATTTTAAAGCCAATTTACGATAGGCTGTTTTTATCTCACTTTCACTGGCAATCCGTTCCACGCCGAGCTCTTCATAATAACACTTCATAGTGTTAAGGGGAAAACGACAAATTACTTAAATAACAATTAAATTTTGACGATTCAAGTATATTTTTATAATAAAACAGCTGTATTCTAACATTTGTCCAGAGTTTCTTGCCTATTTATTTGGCTACTCTGTGGGATTATGCGTATGAAGAATGAAGGGAATATTTTCCGCCCTTTTTAAGACGTTTAAATGTTTGCTTACATATTTCAGGTCTGAAATGTTGTTTGTTAGTCTTTTTTCCTGCAGCATAGAATATGTTTTTAAATATTTAATTTTTTTTTCTTTTTTAGTATTATGTTGATTTGAAAATATTTTGATTTTATATTAAATTGCAATGAAAATATGTTAACTTTATATTATTTCAACATCTCACGCAAATCTCTTCTTCTTCCTAAATGTTCAGTTAGTTAACTACACATGATTCGTCGCGTTTTAAAAAACAGTTTTCTTTATTACTTTACATTAATTAGATTCTTATGTTTGTTTTTTGACTCTAATAAACGCAATACTTTCTTGGCGTTTATTATTGCTTTCTTTGTTGTATTGCTGTTATTAGTTAATGATAAATATATTTTTATTAATATTTTTATTTTATTATCATATTAAGTACCTTTGACCCAATAATTCCTTCTTCTTGTTCGTGAAAGAATTAATAACCTGTTACCATATGAAGAGGAAACACGATATTTATGGGTTTCTGGTTTCTGTTACACGTCTAGAGTTTGGATTTGCATGGTTCCTTGTCAGTAATCAGAACTGCTTTTTTAATAATTAGAACTCCCCTTTAACCTTATAACTTATCGGCATATTAGTTTCAGTATTGTCTACTTTGTATTTCTTGTGAAAACATTAGAAAGTGGAGGGAATCCTAAATTAACTGAATCGCGTTCGCGGTTCTTTTCTTTTAATCGGCAAAATTATAAAGTTCTTCGCATTTTTTGCTAGCAGAGCTGCTATTCAGAGTAGGGCACATAATTCCTTAACGATAAGACAAATGTTATTGAAAACCATAAATTGACTTCACGTGCCTTCCATTATGCATTAAAGAGTGTTGGAATTATAATTCGACATAAGGCCGACAATTGTAAACAATTTCGTATGTTTCTTTCCCACCTCCTTTTGAATTCATATGTTTTTCGTATTTTTCTTCCGTACCTCCTTTTGAATTGTAAACAATTTCGTATCTTTGGAGATGCCAATGCTTCACAGAAAAAATATACACCGAATTATCTTCTGACACGAATTTTTTTTAACACGAAATTTGAGTTGACGCGAGTTAAAAGCAGAGCAAAATTCTATTTTATACGAATTGTTTTCTTTTAACACGATTTTCAACATTCTACCGATTTTTTTTATAAATTTTTTTAATTAATTTTTTTGTTGTTGTTTCTATGAATTGTTTCACTCTCACTCCTTACCGATATGCACAGTGTTAGATGTTCATAATTGAGTTAGATTCGATGAGTGGGATTCCCCGAATAATACATAGGGTAAAGACGTAATGTACTTTTTACGCAATTTAGTTTTATTTTTCAAGGTGCAATTGATTTTTTGTAATACATTTAATGAATTAAAATGTGTACGCACGAAATAAATTCTTAAGTAAACTCTAATAAGAATTCTTTAATATTATTTATTGTGCTTGTCAGTTGCATTTTATGTTTGCAAACAACTCGAATTTTTTGGGGGAGGGGGGGCGGGGGGCATCTACCGTGTAAAAACGCGATTAGTCGTATTATTGCATTGTGGAAATTAGTATTAATTATGAAGCTATTAATGGAGGATATTTCATAGAGTAGGACCCGATAGTGTTTTTATTTGGTTTTTTTTAAGTTCAAGCCTTTTTATAGAATAAAGAGCAAGTTTAGCCTAATATTTTACTTCGATCTTTCTGTCATTGAGAATTTCAGATCTGACGATGATCATATGTTGTTCAGTATAATTGCAACAAAGTTCGTGCTTCTCTTTGATGTTAACAGTAAACAAAAAGGAAGTTTCATATGATCAGAAAGTTCTTGCCTTTTTTTATGTTGAAGTGAAGAGAGATAGGCTACGCGACATTTGAAACCGCATATTTATATAAGTTGGTTTTTTTAAGGCCGCTGTCTGCCCTACACGATGGATATTAATTTAAAAAAAATCGGAAATATAGAAATATTTGTATGCGGAAATATTGGTAGATATGCTTTTTTTATGTATTAAAAGTTTGTCAAGGGAACGTAAAAGTAACAATTCATTCCAAAATAAAAAAAACGTAATTCAAAGAAATAAAAAAGTGCTACAAAAATGATCAATTAAGAACAGCCAAAACTAAGTGCTTATCAAATCAAACTTGGCCTCCCTTTTTTTTTTTTTGATTACATATATAATTTACAATCTATCTAAAAATATAAGAAGTAAATGTTATATCAAGATGGGAAAAACAGCAGAGATTATTGTCCTTAAAGGACATGGGGAATGTATCAATACATATATGATCTTTAAATAAGTAAAAAGATGTTATATATATATAGAAACTGATTTCCTAATCGAAAGATATGGGATATGATGATGTCCTTTATTTCATTCGATTCTGAAGAGATAGTGCCAAGCGATTTACCTGATTACTCAGTTTGGCAATCTAGTTTGAGGAAATGTGTTCAATTAGATTTTTATTAAATGGAAAGTCCAGCTAATCATGAACAGTTGTTGTTGCTAACCAACCACGGGACAATAACAGTAAGGCTTTAGGTTGATATTTTTGAAATAATTCAATATTAGAGTTACTGGCTGTTCCCCACGGTTGTATGCCGTAAGAAAATATGTCTCCGAACAAATGCGCGAGATCGGAAATTGTATATAGATGTACATAAATATTAGGCTTTTGGTGCGAATTCGTTATGCTTGTCGGGCTTGAGGTATGACGATCACAGTGTGGAAAAATTTAATACGAGATCGAGCGTAGAGGGGTAAACGAACATTTTAGATGTCTAGGAGTCTAGAAAAAATAGTTACTGAGATTTTGGTTTTTTAGTAATGGACTCTTGAGCTGATTTATTTGAATTTTAAAGTTTATATTGGGAGAGTGAATAATGATCTTCTACCAAATGTGGTCTACAGCACGGCCTAGGGCAGAAGATTCACGATTCTCTAGTCGGTGTTGGCTGGTTTGAATACGTTGTAGGATCTATATATATAGTTACTTACCCTTATATTCGCTTTCTACTTTAACTTAAAAAATTTGATAAGCTATTTACTTTGAATTTCTCTGTTGTTTCTGATCGATCTTCTGATATCTTCTTCTTTGTATAACATCCTAAGTCCTAAGCTTTAGATCCAAGTTCGTTTGTTAGAACTTTAAGCCTAAAGCAAAAGAAGAACTTTGAACTGAAAAAATTGTGTACTTGGACTGTTCACTTTGAACTTTTCTGTGGGTTCCGATCGACGTACTTCTCTTCCAAGGGTTGCTAATTGGGCTGAAGTAATGCTGTGGCCAGGAAAGATTAAATAAATAAATTTTAAATTAACATATTTAAAAGATAGCAGGCAGATAGGCAGAGTTGGATTAATCTTTGATTAGATTTACATTTCGTAGGGAATACGATGAGTACTATCAAGTGGTGCATCTTTCAAAACTATAGTAAGCTTCCTTCGATGCCGAGACGCAGAGGCACATTTTTATTAAGAATTAAAAAAAAATATCAAAATAGTGACACGAAGTCCAATAGATGCCACGGCAATTCCATGGAAAATAAATTACATGCTTGATTTAATCGTTCTTGATTCAATAAATAAATACGCTTTGAAGTATGTTATAGCAGATTTAAATCATACCAAGTCCAGCCAAACCTAAGAGAATTGACTTTGTGGTAAAAACTGTACAGTACGAACTTTTACTTGATTCAAATTCTAATAAATGAAAAAACTTCGATATATGGTATGGCATATCAAATCCATCCAAGCCTAAGAAATTTGATTTTTAGTAAAAGCAGTGTGCAATACAACCGAAATTGACCTCATTTCTGCACTATATTGATAGCGATAGAGCTTAAAAGAAGGAAAGGGTAAGATGGGAGTATACTCATTTAGTAGAGACATTGGAAGTTTCTGCGCGCTGGTTGATATTGAAGATGGGCAAAATCGGCGGGAGTGGAGGGGGCGCAGTGCAGCGTAATCTGAACGCAAATCCATTTTTTTTTTTGATTTTTGCTCGTTCCTCGGCGATTATAAAATTTAGAAGGCTGAAATTTTCCACATTGACTTCACAAAGCATTCTACCCCTTATGTGCAAAGATGGAAAACATCCGCCGCGCCCACACAAACTTATAAAGACTACATTTTGTTTTTGCTCATTTTTTTGAGGTTTTATGCTTTTTTATCATAAGACAAACAAGATCGAATGTTTGAAACTATTTTGTACACTGCTTAAATCAAGACATATTCTCTGCCTAAAAATGGGTTAATTTTAAAATGAATACAATAGACGCAGCTATCACTTCTTTCTTTATAATACTAGCGAGGGTAGTAGGTATGAAATAAAAGAACTTATGGGTAAAATGGAAAGAACATAGTGGTGGATATGCGAGATTCGGCTCCCGTCTAATATGACTTTCTTATATGTTTTGTATTATACAATCAGGATATCACATGCTACTAGTCATCATGCAAAGGAATAACAGAAGAGAAAGCGAAAAAAGGACGGGGAAAGATAGAAAAAGACGATGAAGGTATTTTTTGGACTAAAAAAGGAATAATTTGCTGAATTTCCAACGAGAATAGAAATTCATTTAAATTCGTCTAGCGCTAGAGATGCAAAATGATACTTTCTTATGTGTTAAAGAGATTTTAATTCGCTTGGTTTCTTAAGTAGCTTTACAAACACTTGATACTTCACTAATATCTTTAATATTCAAACGGACATGCTTATCTTATTGGCCATTACGATCGTATATATGAGGAAGTGTTGTAACCTTGCCAGAAAAATCTGTTTTACTTTCTTAGACAGAATGGTATCACGTTGTTTGCATGCTAATGCAATTTTTGTTGGAGATTTATTTCTGTTTACATTACATTTTATTCATGCGAGTGTTTATATACTTGTTCTCTGGAAAATTACCCCCACACTAGACGTTAGTCGTTTGTTGTCACTTTGAATATTCGAAAAACTAACTCTGAAATTCTCTCAGGGGTTGGATGTCAACGCAACAATAACAAATAAAATAATATAAATATGCCTGCACAACAACACATGCTCCAGACAACCAACGAAACGATGACTAGCAGACAGTTAATATATGTATGATTTTTTGTTTTCTTTTTTTCCCTTTTGTTATTGTTGTTGTTGTTTTCTTTTTGCAAATATTGCGCAAGTGCATCATCAGCGATACTGACGATACTGTAAATCGCGTAATAACATAATATAAACAGGAGCCAGCAATAATGTATGAATGCTCTGTGAGTGAGAATGCAGCTCCAGGGAGGACTATTTGTCTGTTTCGCAACTCAGTTGTTTTCAGCACTTGCCTTGAATCAGATACAATTCGGTTAAAATTAACAGTACAGTGAATATAAAAAAAAATAGATATAATTGTGAATATTTAAAGTATATATATACATACACGTAAATATATATGTAAACTCAATGCTGCGGCTACGGGTTATTACTATACATACTTTCACACATGCACTTGTAAAAAGTATAAAGCAAAAAAAAAAAAAATTTAATCCGACGGCGTCTTATTCGGCAAAAGTTTAAAAACAATTTTTTTTTTTTTTTTTGATATAGTTTTGCAAGGTTTTCAAAATATTGTTTTTTCATTTTAAGTAAAAATTTCGCTTTTGCTTGTCTCTCTTTCTTTCTTTTCGCATTAGATAAATTGTAAATCTTTTCATAGATATTTAATAATTCATTTTAATTGTAAACATTTGCAAAATTTATGATATAAACAAATTCCATTTGTATTTCATGCCCATAAGTTTTAAGTTGCACTGAGTTTTGTGCCAAATATATTTATACTGAGGGAAATTGGATTGAAAAAATTCCGATAGAAATTTGTGCATGAAGAAAATTCAATTATGTGAAAATTTTCTACGTAACACCCTTCGTTTTAATAACAACAAAACCGAGAATAACAGCACTAACAACAACAACAACAACCCCTAGTTGGAAATTTCCGGTAAGTCAAACTATGCTCGCTATCGTATGTATGTTAAAAATTTTTAAATATCCATTTATATAAGTATGTATGCATTTCCTAAATTATAAAATATATATATATATATATATAT